CAAAATAGATATTAGATCATAACATTACAATTAGTGTGTGTGGTCTTTGACCTTTTCCAGCATTTATAATGTTTCTTTCAAATTGTTTAAAAATGTATATATAAAAAAGACCAACAAATTTGTCACGGAACATAAAAAAACTAAAACAATTCATTAACTGTTTGATGCAAAAAACAATGGAGGGTCAAATTACAGATCCTGCGATAATAGAGTTTGTTGTTAAATCTAAGCAAATGTGTCTATAGCCCCCACCAGTCAACACATCTACAGTACAAAAAAAAAGATTGCGCTTTGTAATTTATGTTTTTGATGGCACTGGCATTATTTAACTTCGGGTAGTTTCAGATAATTTTCAACAGATTATTTGTGTTATTCATTAGAAATTAATAGTCTTAATTCAAATGAAAGTTTCTTGTAATTAAATTACAATTTAGTAATATAATTTAGTAGTAATTAACGTCACTAAATCAATTGCTGTAAAAACAATAAAATGAGAAAAAATCACTTCAATTAAAGTCATTTTAAGCATGACTGAATATATATGCCTTGCAGTGTAAAGCTGCTTAGATCACTTTTCAACTAAAAGACCACTCAAACCTTTCTCACACTCAGCGACATTCGACACATGAACTGGTTTCCTAATTTGGCCGCATGTCAGTGGACAAGGCCAAATTCTCATACAGACAATTTTTTTACACGAGGCTGTTCTTGTTGCAACTATCTTTGAATCTAAAAAAAATGCCTGAAATGTCAAAATGCACAAGAAGCCAGGATGAATATACTGTATATGTAAGGTATTTAAATCAGAGCAAATGTTATGAGAGGCCCGTTTGTTGTGACAGGACGAAGCATTACATCGGGCGTATTGAGATATAGCAAATTCCAAAGCACTGCGGGGAGGTGTAGCGTTATTACCATAAGTGCTTTGAACTGTGCTGTCGTAATATTGTGCACTTGTATTAAATGAAAGCAGAGCAATATACAAGAGAGGGAAGGAGGGCAGATATTCCATGGAGGTGACACGTAAAAGGGTATGGACCTGCACTGGCACGGCTTGTTTGGAGTCTGTTTATGAGTCACGGGCTATTAATCGTATTGTTTACAGTATTGTAACAGCTACCGGCTTCTCACCGCCCGAGGGAAAGAGAAAGACGAAGCAGGCAGGCAGGCAGGCACCCCCTCATAGGCCCAAGGCTGCATTAAACACACAAAGAAGAACACGCTCCGGCCGGATGTCCGAGATAACCTTTTTCAGAGCAAATGACTCGCAATTGTAAAAGTTAACAACTGTGGGTCTAATTTATGAGGGAACACACTTGCACCTTGTACGGCGGCGTGTGAGTAATGAACAAAATGAAATATAATCTAACACAGTGTTTCTCGCTCGCTTGGTGGAGTTGATTTTTCCTCACCGTTTGGGAGCAGAAGCTGAAAGAATCATCCGTCACCAATAGTTTCCCCTCTGTATCTTTCCTAAATCGCCTGCACCTCGGGGAGACCCACCCACCCTGCTACAACAGCAGAGCACGTAATGCGCATTTAAACACCGGCACATGGGAGCACCTTATGTTCTGGAGTCAATATCTAGCTAAATTGTGGGCATTTAAAAAAGGCACAATTCCTGTAACGCTAATAAGACATTATAGGTATATTTCTGAACAATACACCAAAGCCCCTTATTTTTGCATATTTTTTATCATTAGTAGCAGCAGCACCACCGTAAAACTTACAGCTACAAGGATGTATGTGAATTACCCGATGACTCATGTATGGTGTGCAAGATTTGTGTTTAATAACTTTGTTTTGTGTCCCTGATAAAAGGGATTGAATAAAAGGTCAAATGTGGCAACTTTGCTCCTCTCCTAAGGTGTGTATTGTGGCCTGGGTTGTAACGCAGTCAATACACAGCCCCTTACCCTCTCATTTAATCTTCTATTATTTCAAGACAAACACTAGGGCTGGATATATTTTAAGAGCTTGCTGAAAATTCAAGTATGATGAATGTTTCCAAGCAATGAGATATGATTCTGTGAAAAAAGGCCTTTGGTTCCTTTAAACATATTTACTACATTATTGGTGCCTTCATATTGAGCCTAAGACTTCCTTTTTTGCAATGTGTGAGTTTGCAAACGCAAATCCAAAATATATATAATGTACGAGTAAAAAAATATCTATTGGCTTCTACTAAAGAAAAGAAAAATCAATATTGAATAAAACATTTTTGATACAAATTGTGTGGCCTTTGTAGGTCTGTCTTTAAAAATTACACATTATATCATAATGTTATTATTATCATTAAAAAAAAAATGAAGCTCACCCCGAATCATCACAGCACCATTTCTGGCAATATAACATGACACAAAGGCCCTCTTTATTGTACTATTGTTACAACTTACTCCGCACTAAAAACAGAACAGACTAGGTTCTAGACTAAGACCAGGGGAGAGATTTTCCGAGGCTTTAGGACTTGTGCACCGTCTTGCTGATATTGCTGCCGCCCGAGCGTGAAATAAAAGTAAATGGGCAGACTGGCGAAGGTGACATATATCTTTGTTTCTGTGATGGCGGAGGAACGCAGAGTGGACGGCGCGTACAACACACGACAGGACCTGATTCACAGAACAGCCGACCACAGCACTTTCTGCCACCAGTCGATGAGTCTCTTAGCGGACTTCTCCTTTACATTTTGTTTAGTGTGCAGAGGACCATTTTACTTGCATCCTCATCACACGAGTAATTTTGTTTTAACTCCAATTGTAACTTTAAATGATATATTATGGTTGAAGAGCTTTTCATTAAGCACCATGAGAAAACCATAGTCACGTCTGTCACTAAAGATTACCAAAGATGAAAGTGCTGACCAGCTGGCCAATGTGTGCGGTGGGAGTTTCATATAGGTTTGTGTAATACCAAAACATTTACCACATGACTATTCACAGATACAACAATGCCTATATAATTACATTTAATTACAGAATTTTAAGGACCATTGACTCTGGAAATGCCTGGCAGAGGGAAAAGCAGAAAGCAACTTTTGTAAAACGCACACGCAAAACATGCTTAATGTAACACAAAGGGACAAGTTCATCGCAACTAATACATTCTTGAAATTGTTGTCCATTTCAATCTAGTAATCAATTAATTATATTTTAAACAACACAGATTTAGGTATTCTAAAAAGGGTTTATGATTCCCAACAGATTTATGAATATTAAAAAGTGATATTAGTGTATTTCATTTTTAAAAGAATACAAATTTCTGACCAAAAGACCAGGTAGGAAATCTTTTTCAAAATCAATATATTTAATACAGTCCCTCCTCTTGGCATAACCACCACCAATAAGATTCTCTGGAGGGGAATTGTTGGGTCAATGGAAAGGAAAAATATAATTCTTCACATTTAAAAACCTTAAGGCACTTTCAGTAACAACTAATGTACTCATCTGTAAGAAGATGTTCACGGTTCGCATTTTAGTTTAATAATCGTTCATTACAGATCTGCAACTATGCTTTACTAGATCATCAGATTTCATACTTATAACTGCTCGATTAGACAAACAGAATAGTGGATTTCACTATAGTTAAGTTTGTGGTCTAAATACCACAAAATGATACTGTTTTTTTTCTCACAATACCACAAGAAATGGAAAATTTGGATATTCCTAGCTGGGAGAATACCTTTACTTTTTTACAACGAGAGGAAATAAAAACAAACAGGATGGCTACTTCAAAAGGTACAATACAGGAGCACATCACAAAAGGAATACGTCAGGGCCTTTAAATAATCTATCGTGCGACATGCCAGAGGTGCAGCGCGAGTCTGGCCAGGCGCGTGGCAGGTGGTCCGCAGCACTTTGACCTCAATCCCATTTGTCCCTCCCTGCGCCAACAAAACCAAAGCTAGTGAAGGAGAGGGACATTTCTACAGCCACAAATAATACGGCAAAACTCTTCTTCTGCTTTCAAAAAAAAAAAGCTACATGTAGAGTGTCTCGAGTAAAAAATGTGTGTGTGTGTATGTGTGTTTGTGTAGATTTCATCCAAAAAATACAAGGTTTGCATTTTAATTTTACAGTCTGTTCACCTTATGTGTAGTAGCTCAGCCACGACATATACATTATAGCCGATAGATATCAGAAATATCATCAGCTTATGAAAGGTGTGCATTTTTCATAACAGTACTACTTCTGTTGCTAATCTAAACATCCTCGGTCTGTAAGTGGCACTTCTAATGAACACAACCTCTAATGCTCAACCTGCTGTAGAAGGGGCCATCACGTGAACACAACCTCAAATGCTCAACCTGGTGTAGAAGGGCTTCTTTCTGGCCTCACGGATAGAAGCCGACAGACAAAAAAGCCATAGAACGGAGAAGACCCTGCTGCAGCCAGAAATAGCTTTAGCTGAGGAAAAGGAGTACCACTGAGCAGGCCACTGAACGCGACGCAGCAACAGACCAGCATAACAATAAAGAGAAGCGACAAATGAACTTCAAGGGCTATTAACTGTGCTAATACGGAAAATAACATAAAACAGATGCTTTCGGGGCCTCAAAGGTAGTCGTCCCATGTCATTTTAAGTCCAAGCCATCTGCTGAAGCTGTGCAGTTTCTCTACAGGCCTGATTCTATTTAATAATAATAATAATAATACCAAACCAAAACCAAACTCATGTGACATAACCAAAAGGTAGCTGACATATTACCGTTTGCAAGAATGGAAATTAAATAAGAAATATATAAATTAAATACCTGATCTTTAGATAAGCAGTTCTGTTTGTCACAAATATTCCAAGTAACCTGTTTGTTCAGCACAATAATTTTGACTTTAAGAACATTTTAAAACACATCTCTACTGGGACAAAACTCATTTGGATCAGCTGCATATAACAAAAGTCAGATGCAGGGTACCTTGAGTCTGAACAGATCCACTGGCCACCGTGGACACATGGTCGATTTTGAGATTAAAGCCAATTCAGTATTTTGCAAAGGAAGGCCATACCTGGGGTTTCCTCTCAGAGCGGCGTGATGCAGGGCGTTGAAGCCGTTGTTGTTGGTAATGGTTACATCGGCTCCCGCCTCCAGCAGTACGGACAGCATGTCATCTCTCTTTTTACTGATGGCATCGTGCAAAGGCGTGTCCCCTTCAGAGTCCTACAGGTACAGTAGTACTTATATATATTAAACCCATATGGTAAAAGGCCAACTACAATCTATTCACTTTAGAGTTTCTATTGACCCAAGTGGTTTCATTATAAAATACCTGCAAACTTGGATGGCAGCCAAAGTCCAGAAGCGTTTTAACCACTTGCAGGTGACCCTTGTTGACGGCTATATGTAAAGGAGTTTGTCTTCGCTTATTTCTTGCATTCAGATCAGCTCCGCCTCTTTGCAGCACCTCAATGACAGAGCCCTCATCACCAAAGGCTGCATGGTGCACTGCCCGGTCTCCATCTTTGTCCTGATTCAATGACATTACAACAGATTAACTTTCAGTGGGGTCCCAAACCTTTTTATTTACACCCACTGATATATACAATACATTTAGTCAAGCGTAAGTAGATTTCTTTAACTCCACCAACCTCTGCCTCCAGGTCCACATTGTGTTTGAGCAGAAGCTTCAACACATCCACATGTCCATTCTGACTGGCTGCCTGCATAGCAGTATGACCAGCACACTGCCCATTTACCTAAAACACATAAAAACATAAGGTGAAAATGACGTCATGACTAAAGCTTATATTGAGCTACAGTCTTCTGAATTAGCCTTGTACAATGGCAAAGCATTGTATGTGCAGATTTGTATGCACGGCTATGTGTGCATGTTTCATCACCAACTGCAGCATTGCAAAAACTCAAGAGCATGAATATTAATGTGAAGTCCTTTGGGAGTCTCGAGACATCTCTTGTCCTGGCAAGCGGATCACTTGGTCTGGCTCAATGTGCTCAGCTTTAAGCAAATAATTTCACTGAAAGGCAGTGGGGCAGCTGGCCAGCTCTCACCAATGACACGCACATACTCCCCTCCCAACGCCGAGTGACGACAGGTTTTAGTGCAGACTTGACGTAATGGTCACTTCTCATCAGAGACTGTCCTTTGGCAGAGGGGTTACACTGGTGTTCAGTGAAACTGGGGTCAGATCTGCCCTCGTATGGAGCACAGCTTTAAAACAGTGCTTAGAGTTAGGTTTGTGGTACAGTGCCCTCTGTGCCTCCTCTGGTCTAGGTCTCATGGTGGTATCATGGAGAGAAATGCAGGAGTGGGAGGATTTTCCCCACAGGCAGAGTACGCCAACAAGTCTAAGGGTTTGAAACTTGTAGCGTGCCTATCAAGTTACTTTGTTTCCAGATACTGCAAGCATTTAGCTTCACTTACATCCACGTCCGGTCTCTTAAGGATATCCTCCACTTTAGCCAGATCTCCGTTAGCTGCTGCTTTTACCAGCTCCTCATTGATGTCCCCAGACTCCTGTGTCTCAAACAGCTTTTTAAGCAACTGGGACAGGCGTTCTGGCCAAAACACAACAGACAAAATGAGCGTGTGGTTGTCAAAAAAGTGAAAGCAGACAGAGCAAATGTGGTAGTACAGCCCCTGTCTGTGTTGCATGTTGATGTGTGCTGTACCTCCAGAGGCGTTGCTGACAGCAGAGCCGGAGGGAGCAATCTTGGTGACAGCGGCAGGATTGTACGTCCACGAGGTTCCACAAACTTCGACCTTTAAATCACTGTCAGAGTAGATTTGCTGAACACGCCCAACTTTGCCCAGGGTCTGTAGATAAATGACAAAAGGATAAGAACCATGGAGATTTACATGTCAGAATGTGCTTAAGGCACATTTTAGGTAAACACTTCAAAATGCAATGCTAATCACAAGCAAAACATACAAATATATGAATGTTATTAGAAAGGCATACTTCAAAAAATAAGTATTGATTTTAAGTAGGTTTTATGTTACATCAGGGATCTTGTGGCCAGCAGGAAGTCACATTATATGTCAGATAAATACACGTACTGTCTGTCTCCAATATTGGACAACAGTCTTGAATGGAAAACTTGATATAATTTTGAGTCTTAAAAAAGCAATAACAATAAAAAGTTGAGCCCGCAATACATAGTCTCAATCCTTTTCTAGGGGACAGATGAAGAATGTGATGGAGGATGCTTTCCAATCGGAATGACATCATGGTGATTACGGCGACATGACACAGAACTGCTCAGACTGAGCGGGACTGTCCTGACGGTGCCATCAATAACATAGACTGCAGCAGCAGCAGCGGGCGGCAGCTTTGGTTAGTGATCAAAGCTACAGCCCATCTCAGGGTTTTAAGGCTCATTAGCTGCTGAGAGGGGCCAGTTTGGCAGGGACAAGTGGCATATTGGAGGAGACCATCGTTGCATAACCCAAGGCGCACTGGGCAGCTACAGATAAACTTCATAATAGGTGACGAATAGAAGTCTCAGAGCGAGAGCCATAAAATGATTTGATGAATCATGTCAATAAAAGAGCAATATTTCTGTACAGAATCTGTGGCTGGCGCAGCAGCTAACCCACAACAATTGGAAACTACAGACTGGGACTGTGTAAAATGATTAAAAAAGAAACAATGCCGTGCTGATTCAATTTACATTTGTATTTTCAAAAATAATAGAAGTTTTAGTGTGCTCTTACAGGCAGCATGGCCTCCGCCCACTCCCCGTGTCCTCTTTGTAGGAGCTTGATGCGGTCTATGTCGTAGCAAATCTGCACCAGGTCTCCAACCATAAACTGTGAGGTTCCCCCCTCGGCCCCCGCAGCCACTTCTCCGCTCCGCACTACATTGGCCTTTGTCAGAACTGCAGGATTGAATGTCCATCTGAAACAAGGACCAGTGATGGGATCAGACAGCAGCTCAATTGTAACAAACTTCGTGACAAATTGCATGAGACAAAATGAACAGTGAGAAGAATTTCCTCGAAGACAAACTTTATCTAATGTAACAGGAAAACTTTGAGTATTGAGGTGGGGGTATTATGCAATTAAATCAATAATTAGAATTCACTTTCATTCATGAAAACACTAAGCATGCATTTGAAGACATAAAGGCAATGGTATTCATAGGGACTTTGTGGATCCGTTTCTCACCTGTTCCCGCTGGGATACTGCACTACGATGTCATGGTCTTCATCAATGCCGCACACTGTACCAGTGGTGGTGAGGGTCTCAAACATGCCGTCAGTCCAGCCGCCATGGCCATGCTGAAGTGACTGGACAATCTCCAGGTCCAGGTCTATGTTGACCAGGTCTCCAATCTGAAGACCACCTGGATTTCTGTTGCCATTTTGTTCACCTATAATCGCAAAAAACTGTCATAAAAATTTGCAATGTTACAAAAAAGAAATATGCTTCATCTATCTTCTTAAAAAGAAAATGACTTCAATAAGAAACAAATTGAATAGAAAAGGTAGATGGATTTCTTATGAGGAATATTATAATTATATTTAGTCTTTTTCAGGTGAGTATTGGGAATGTTCGGCAAAGGTCATGCATGTCTAAAATATCATAAGCAGGCCATACCAAGCCGGAATCATTTTGATTTGCTCCACAGCTTGGAAAGTTGCTTGTAATGTTTGCAAGATTATAATAATAATTAATAATTTTTTATATAGCCCCTTTTTGGACACTCAAGACACTTGCTCCACATGGCATTATTTATTCAGTCCATACAGAGTGGTGATAAGCTACCACTGTAGCCACAGCTGCGCTGGGGCAGACTGACAGAAGCGAGGCAACTAGTATGTTCCATTGGTTCCCAGACCGATATATTTAGTCTTGTGTTAGCCAGGCTATGAGAATGGCACAATGTGCTAAAGAAAATTATAATTATAAAAACAGCTCACATCTTCAGCCATTATTGTGGCTTAGACTTCACCAAAACATATGCTGTTTATTACGCCTGGACAATAAAACAGTGAAAGTGTTTACTAATAAAATCACTTTTAGTGCCTGCATTGCACTGAAGCCACAAAATGATTTTACAATTAAGAAGAAAGGACCGCATGTAGATTTTACGTTTAATGGTGTAAAATGTTACAACTCATCTAAACCATGTAATAGCAGTTTGCATGTAGATCACAAATGTAAAGCTTCAGCAGTGATTACGTATGTGCTCTAGGAAGAAGTGTTCAGATAGTGATTAATTACATCTAAATAAGATAGTCATTCTTTGACATTGCCAATTTGCACTGTCCACAGCTTAAGGACTTTCTGATTGTTGGCCAGATGATCTTAAGAAAGGAATGAACTATTTCAAAATAGTTTAGGATTGGGGTTTATAAAGAAAATGTTATGTTGTCTCCAGTGTGTGACCTATGCTAAGATCAAACATTTATAGGGACAGGGGACTGTGTTTTGCTGCCATCTAGTGCCCAGAGTCAACCAACTACATCAGAGTTTCTGTAATGCCCTTGAATTCACTGCACCAGCACATATAGGTGAGATTTGGTGCAATATGGACAGTATAAAAGCTTGGCTACATACCCAAAACAGGACAGTGATCTCTGTAGAACGAACCACCTTTGGCATCTTGGACACACTTAAGATCGGACTGTGGAAAAAATAGATAAAACACAAAAAATCAATTAAGATGAAGGCTTAATCTTGGCTAATAAACGCATACACATATGATGGCAGTGTCGATGTTGCCGCTTGAATGGGCAACAATATCATAACAGTATGGCCCAAGGGTATGACGGGACAATGAAATAGAGGAGTGCTTCATATAATTTGTGATGACTCAGACGCAGAGCCGCGGTGAAGTTAGAGGGCAAAGAAGATATGGAGGAAGAGCGCACATTCCTCTGCACTGAAGGAGCACTGCAAGTCCCAACAATCCAAGACGGTTACCACAAAACTGAATTGAAAAAACCTGACTATTATACAATTTAGTGCACAGAGAAGCAGTGTGTTCAAAAGATTGCTTTAAGATACTGGGTGGTCATGAGAGAATAGTATTTCACATTGTTTTGTTTTGTTTTCGATTCGCTCATTTCTGGGTACAATTCTGCACAAGACATGCACAGCTTTATCAAACTTTATCACAAATCCTCATTATTTGATAAGTTCTTGTTTTAGTTCTTTGAATCATCTCATAAAATGGGATTGTTAAGTATGTATGACATATTAGCCACTTTTCGACTAGCGCCATCCTTCTACTAGGAGCAGCCATGGTTAAAAGCGAGCAGTCTGCTAATAACATTTTAATTGTACATTTAGCAATATCACGTTTGTGGCGCTGTAAGACGTGACTATTGTATTCGTTACACCTAAAGTACCACTTCCGGTTTGCTGGTAGCTTTCACAAATTGAACCATTATTATGTTTTATATTCACCTACCAAAAAAACCATACAACTTAAAACTTAATAAAAAGGAGGACATCATTACTAGGCAAATTACTCTGCTATGATTACTCTGAAATAAAGATGACGTATTTACCTATAAAAAGGAAAAAACATTTACTATTGGATTTTCCCAAATAAAATATAGAAGAATAGTCTTGAGCAAATCGTTTTCTATTGCAAATAAGGCCCAGCAATTATAAATCAAAAAGAATATTTGGTTGGGCAAACTCTCGTTTCTAAACCCATGGCCTTATGTCATTTGTCTCCAATCTGTTTGAAAATATATTAATATATTAAAATTACAAATGCCTGTTACGCAATCTAGAAACCCAACTGGCTTCTTTCATTCAAGGGTGAGGTCAGGCCTCTTTATTTTAGGCGCGTGTGCAGCGGCGCTAGGAGTAGACCCCCTCCACACAAGTTTGACCTCTGTCCGAACACCCCTTCCCAAAAATACCAGAAGGGACAGCTTTCTTCTTTATCATGCAGATGTCTTCCTCTTCCAGCTGCCCCAAACAACTGCGCCCTAGCATGCTGCCTGTGGGGCCCAGACAATGGACCAGAGGCCGATGAAAAGCAAGGCGCACAAAAGCAGCCTCCAAGAAGTGTGTGCGCAAAAACAAGGGGGCTACACTGGACTCACCATTCCCTCGAAGCCAACTCGGTACAAGTTTTTGGCACCATTGTCCCAGAGCACATAGGCAGCGCTGTGGGGACTGGCTGCACTCCAATCCTGGATCTCAGTCACCTGCAGAGAAAGAGGAGCAGAAGTACACGGTGTTAGTTAATTGATTTGTTTTTGTCCTGTGAGAGTAAAGACAGCAAATTGAATGGATTTGATACAACATGGATGAGAAATCTACAATGTATCCACCTGCATGTGTTTATACAGGAACAAACAAAGAAATACAACAGTTAATCTCATTATGTAAGCTTATCTTTTCTACAGTCTATCAGGCTTAACGTTGGAGTGACAGGCCGGAAGATGGGAAGAAAACGAGCTGGACCTCACCACAATAGGAAATGGTTTAAAATTCCACTTTATTTGTATCTGTCTGCAAATCACACAGTCCTCCAATGTATTTGTAACAAAGGAAAACAAAAGCACTTGGCAGCCGTAAGAAAAATCTATACATGATAGCGCCTGCCACTGTAAACACTATGTTGGATTCCCAAAGTGCTGTGAAATATTAGAAATGGGGATCACTATGATGAAATTTAATTACATTTTGATGATGTGGGATGCTATTAGATTTTGTTTAAGTTCCTGCTGCACTGGAATTCTCAAGTCAATGCTAAAGCTATTGTCAGTTTGTTTTATCACAGGGAGAATGTGTGAAAATCTTTACAAAATAGTCATGAAAAGCACCTAACCAAGTTTATCGGACAAGTTCAATCATTCCAAACTTAGCACAATACGGCTTTTTTATATCTATTAACAAGTGCCTTAGTTGTGCTAAAGATTCAGATTAAGCTATTTTGGACAAATTATCGTCTACGGCAGCCTTGAGTCTGATCAATGTTATCTTTTTGATGAATTCACAGCGCTTTCTTGCATCAATATCAGTATCAATTTTCTATTAAGGGCACTTGAAAACAGGAAAAGTAGATTAATGATATGGACGGCCCCAGTGCAAAGTTTCGTTAACGAGTAATGTCTCCGTCTATGCAATTATGGGAAAATAAAGATGCATTAGTCAGTTATAGAGTACATTAAGACACAAAATATCTTAAAGCCACAGTAAACATAAAATATACTAGGCTTAGGGATGTAAATCGGCGACCGTTTAACCGGTGGTTGACCGTCACAGCGTTAACCGGTCAAAGCTGTCGGTTAAAAAAGAGAAAAAGGGGAGAGGGGAGGTCTCTTAATAACGCTATTTTAAGCCCTATTTGCACGGTGTGACGAGCGGGTCTGTATCTAGCTGTGTGCGCCCATGTATTATAAACTCCGGGACGGCTCTCACACCGCACGAGCCACATATGCACACACGCACGCGCGCGCACACACGCACACACACACTTTCCCCCTCTCCATACGTAACATCCACACGCATCATCTCTCCCCTCTGTTACCGTCAAAGTTGCACACTGGCGCGGGTCAGAACTACATTGGAGCTTACATTTACACACACACACATATACATACACACATACATACACACATACATACACACACACATACACACACACATACCGGTCTGTCGCGCTCCTCTGTGTCACGGAGCCCAAAGGATTCGCGCAAATACACGGCTCCAGTCAAACCACATGGAACATGTTTGTGTTTATGGTCCTCGGGATCAGTTCCACACACATCACTTGTATTTAAACTTTTGTGAAGACCTGTGAGACGCGGCGCGTCACTCGCTGCTCTGACCATGTGAACGAGCCGTCGTTTGCTGCTAGAAAGTTTTGGTATTAACCGCAGCTCAGCAGAATGGGAAGATTAAAACAGCAGTTCTCTGTGCGCAAAGGTGCCGGAGCTGTTGCGGGTTTTGGCGCCGCTGTCTCAACTCTGACCCAGTAGAACGCAGAGCTGCTCTTATGAAAAGTACGCGGCTCGAAATGGCTGTTATTTCAAAGAACGTGGACTATTTTAAACTACGCGGTTAACCGGTTTCAACCGGTTAATGAGGCTCGGTGGTCGGTCATGAAAATTCATAGTTTTTTACATCCCTAACTAGGCTAGCATTACAAGTAACGTGAAATAATGGAACAAATAGATCTCATGCAGGTAACTAATTAGTAACTGAGGTTGTGGAATTCCCTCCGAGGCCCATCATTACTAAAGATACTGGTAATGGAACGAATCAAATTAAATTAAATTCTACACTTCCTCAAAAGCCATTGCCACAACAATGTCCATTATTGTCAAGAGAAGAGTCACAGAGAATGAAATGCAATCTTTAATTAAATGGTTTGCCTTAAGTAAACACTGAAAACCAAATCATTAAATTATATTCTAGGTCCCTTCCAGAGGTAATTGATTAATGGGCCTGAGGAGGCAATATTCACACCATTCACGCAGTATATTCAAGCTGCAGGACACTCAATGTTTTTCTGCACCACATATTGCTTACAGCATCATAAAACAGTAATGAGATATGCCAAATAACAGAGTAAAATGAAGTCTTAAATTGCCTAAGGGGACTCTTAAATTGAATACTCGGGGGTCTGGACCTGAGTCAAAATAAAACCTCTTTACGACATGGATCTAGTGTTAATCTAAATAAGCAGCACTAAGCAAGCAACCTCAGAGATGAATTACGCCAAGAGGATTTTAAGGCCACAATAACCTGCGGTGTCAGCAGTAAAGACACACAGAAGCAATGACAAAGATCTAGGAATGTCTTAAAATTAGGGCTGTCAAACGATTCATTTTTTGTTGTTGATTAATCGCACAGTAATGATGAGTTAACTCACAATTAATCGCATTTTTAACATTCTATTTCAAATCCACTTCAATTGAAGTTAAATGAGATTATCAAATACACATTGTCATTCATACCAAATGTACTTAAATCTGTTAGATTTGCTCACAACATTTTGCTTTTGGGCAAAACCAAAATGAGCTGTTAATGAATGGGAGAAATGTACGTACCAAAGCTTTAATTCAGCAAGTTTAGTTTAGTTTAGTTTCAGGAAAAGACAGGGACACTTTCGCGCTGTATTTGCGTGCACAGGTTACGCACAGGTTGCAAAGAAACGAACATGCAGACAATAGTTCAGTGGCGTGTATGGTCTTATATAACCATGTTACCGCGGCGCCATTCGCTCACAGCCGCTCACAGCCGTGTTGATGTCAGCTGCAGCCGCTAACAACAACCAGATCAGCCGCGGAGGAGGCGGACTTCAGTCCATAGCAAATAACAGCCCCGCGGTCACGCATGTATTCCTCTAAAACTTGAATTCCCAGAGACCAGCTCTGATGCATCTCACACGCAGCATTCTGAGTGATATTATGGATAAATGAGCGGGTCATTCGGACATGCGTTAATGCGTTAAAAAAAAATTACGCGTTAATGAAAAATGTAATTAACGTGAGTTAACGCGATTATTTTGACAGCCCTACTTAAAATGAAATAAAAATAGCGTTGACATGTTTGCATTTACACATTTTAGTATTGAACAACTATAAATCAAACTTTTAACTGTTTTTGATTTGATTGAGCACAGAAATATGATATTCTGATCAACAGAAAAAGGTTTCAAGAATAGATTGTGCCTCTGGAAAAACAGACAATTTTGTAAATTTATTTCACTAATGATTTTCATTTTTTAAATATTGTTGGGAATTAAATATGTGTGATGAAATTTGTGAATGAGTATTTTGTTATTTATATATAAAAAAAGGTAAAAAGTCAAAATCATCTACATTTCCCCTAAAAAACTGGCAACCCAAATGAAAGACTGCTTCTTGATTGGATAATCTGTTTGATAATTGTCATGATTTGATTCAGAATGTTGACTAATAATCTTATTAGATTTAATTTCAAATGAAATTATATTACACACTGTCCCTTTAAATAATATGTTTGATCAGGCGAACTCACGCTGGGATCAGAGTGGAGACTTTTCTGTTTATTTCTTGCTCACATGAGCCCAAACAATCCACTGCTGTCTGGGTCACACTGACCTGTCAGCACTGTGAGAATAATGATACATGTGAACGGAAAGAAATAAACCCCTCTGTGAACTCTGCCTTAATGAAGGCAATTCTTTTTAATTTTACAGCTGGTCTGTAAAATTAATTAATTGTGTAATGCCCCTTGTCAAATAAATAAATAAAAATACAGACTTCACCAGAGCTGAAACTTTATAAGTGCAGAGCTGTTGTATTGATCGAAGCCGCTGATGCTCCGTGAAAGCTAATATTTCCGTTGCCATTTCTCTCCAGCGTCGCCATTTTGTTTTGGAGTATAATGTATTTTTTGTTGACCCAGCCCTAATATTTACATGTAAGTGAAGTTATCAGTGGAAATAGAAGGGAAGGTGAAAAAGGGACACTCTACACTATATCAGGGACGATATAGAATAACTTAATTGAGTATAACTATAATAAGTGTGGGATTGACCGCACCTTTCCTCTCCTCCCGTTGCCTCCGTCCTGGTCTTCCCACTGCCAGTCCACTCCTCTCACCACACGGCCTCCGGCAAAGATCCCTCTGGCTGTGATCTTCTTGGACTTTCGACGTGACTCCAAAAGCACTCTGCCGAGACAGGAATATGAATCATTATGTGAAACTACACAATGCAGTTTTTTTTCTAAATAACAATTAGAAGCAATATGCTTTCAAAGATTAAATATTTTGTGAACAAAAAGAGAGCACATAAAACAATAAAAAGATTGATTTTATTTTGTTGCTCAAATGTAAAAAATAAAATAAAATAAAATAACTGCAATAAAAAAAAAAAAAAAACGCAGTGCATGACCCAAAGCGTCCAAACACAGCACTTCTGTTCTGACAGGCACGTCTCTTAATCTTAAAGTTCACGCTGATCGAGAAACCATTCATATTTTATAAAAAAGAGTTTAGCAAGTATCGCCCTCAAGCTCAAAAATTATAAAATAAGATCAAAAATTATAAACATAGATCATAATCTCTGTGGTGAAATATGACGAGTTCTGTTAGGGTTAAAAAACTAATGAACAAAATCTGAAGTACATGCTGGGGACAGAGGTAATGTACTGGTTTGGATAAACGTGAGGACATTATCTATATTATAAAACTATATATTTCTTGCACTAGAATATAAAGTATTTCATCTTTGCTTCTTTATTATGCTAAAGTTAGAGATTATTTTATCCTTAAAGTATAGAGTTATTGGTCACTTGTGTTGTGTGCTCCTCATTCCTACTGTTCTGTAACTGGTGATGCAACATTGAAATGCCCCCAACAGTGGGACGAATAAAAGATCTCTCAATACTTTATAATTGTCTGTCCAGTATTTTGTATGCTGTTAAGACTTCATCATAAACCTACAGTTCTGTAATTGCAGAGTAGAATTATATAGCCAACCACAAAATGAGAAAGATTGTTTTAGAAAATAGCCTGTTGGGCCTGTACTTTCTAGTTTGAATATCTGGTAAATGGTAAAATGCATGAAATATTAGGTGTTGTGACATTAAAAAATAAAAAAAGGCATTTATTTTAATCTAAAGAAGTTTGAAATACATTTTACTAAATACATATATTTCCACCTATAATTAAAGGTTTGTAAACATATTTGACAACCAACATATACATTTAAAATAATAATAATTCAATAATATAAGGAGTTGACACAAAGTTGCCACATTATCCTTGAGGTGAGAAAACAATAAAATTGACAAGCTGCTTATGTAAAGTAAGATGAGAGAGCCTTTCTTCATTCTAGAGTGGGAAAATGTTGGTGTCGTTGTACTTTAAACAGCAGCAGTAATTTCTGAATGGCCGTTCCTTCACCTACAACTTCCATAATTTCACCTATAACTTCCTCACAACACAGTGCTTTGATGTGTGGCAGCTGAAAACGGTCAGTCTTGCTCACACTGACACTTGAAGTTCTTACCACACCCCCAAAGCATTTAGTAAAAGGCTTTAATGTGGTGTAACAAAGCTTTTCACCACAGTGTCAGGGTGGTGCGCGCTGGAGACCATCAAAACCCATTGTTCTTTATGCACGTCTGCCTCCAAGGGAAATAAAGTCATAGCCAGTTGAAAAGGCTGCCAGCTGTTCAGCCATGTGCTCAGTCACTAGTCTATGGTGTCTGGCTCAAGCAGACTCTTAATTATGCAGCTTCATATTCTCTCACGGCTGCAGAGAAACACATCTATACAAAGAGTTTAGACCAATTACAGTGAAACTTATTGACAAAACATGACTATGATGAAGTACAACTTAGAGCTGCTTCCTGGTACCTCAGATGTGTCAAACTTGAGATCCGCAAAGCAAATAACACAAAATAGATACAGCAGAAATCTAGGAAATATTCCAATAATTTTAATTGTCACGCTTGTTATTAATCCTAAATACAGACTATAACAAGGCTTAAGTGTCGCTCGGCAAAAGAGGCTGACAGAAAAAAATATGTTCAATCTGAGGCTCACAAAATACAGACATAAAACCAAACTGCAATGTTTGAAGTACTTGTGGAGACATCTAAATCAAAGGGACAGACGCACCTTTCACTGCCCGGGGTGGTGATCCTGTAGAAGCGGTGCCGAAGGTGATGCTTGTCTCCATGGTAACATGTAGTGCAGAGGTCGTAATTGGTACATTCTGCACATTTCCAGCGAATACCAATAATGGGCTGTTGACGGCAGGTGTCACACATGGTTCCGTCATGCTTGATACCTGCAGAGGGAGCGTATTACATAAGTATAGACAAGTCAGATTTTACTATGTGATAGCAGTGAAGGCATACCATTTTTAGGTGTCGACCTCAAATAGCCATTTAAAGAAATTGTTACATGTTTACAGTGAGTAAAGGAAAACCTCATACATTTTATTTATAGCATTATATTATACTATAAGAGACGATTGAGATTATCAAGCGTTGTAAACATCTTTAACAGGATCATGCACACAATGAGTGTATTCATTTTACTGACTGAACACGTGCAATAAAAGAGAGAGAACAACTTCACTTGAACACTTCTCTAACAACAGGAGGTGGCGCATCAGGTGATCTTACCTGTAGGAGCACTGTCCAGTATCCGTACATCGTAAGCGCCAGAGCAGCGGTAGTTTGCAGCCGTGCCGTTGTCCCACACCACTACCACTTCCTCTGGACTCTCGAAGCTCCTCACAGTGCCTACATGCCCCTCTCCTCCGTCCTGTTTGCCCCACTTCCAGTCAGGTCCGCGGACGACTCTGGCTCCTACTCCTTCCATCATCGCCCGGTTGTTTCTCCCGGTTGTCATTTAAGGGAGTAGATAGCACCCACACAGAAATTCAGCAGGCTATGGTCGTGTGCCAGCCAGCTACTGTTGATCAGGATGCAGTTTACGACTCCACACAGATATCAAACTAGATCCGCTTGTTAGCAAAGTTAGCTAGGTCCGAGAGGCTGTGAGAGTCCCCAAAGAAGCGCCTACACGATCATTCCGCTGGTGCATCCCCAAAGCGCACGGTGCGAGAGAAAACTAACAACAACACATTTCTATGCGTGGATGTGTGGTATGCTTTCAACGCAATTCAACTTAGCAGCAGGCCAGCGAGTCTACGTGTTAGCTAACTACAGCACAGTTAGCAGCTGCACCTCTGCTAAGTCCTTTTGCTCAAATAAAAAAAAATCTTCCGGGTGCCGTTGTTGATGTTGGGTAAAGTCCACATGAAGGCCTGTTTGTGAAGCAGATTGGATTCGGTGGAGCTAGCTCAGGAGAAATATGTCGCCATTGTTGTAAATAATCAGCCCCAAGCAACAACTATGAACGACAAAAGCCTGCAGACTGGACACAACAGCGAGAGGCTCTCCACTGCGCATGCGCACTGTGAGCTGAGGCCCGCTACAAGTGCATCAAAACTCCACTATTCAATAACAGCGTCACACTATTCAAGGCGCTCCTGAATAGTGGCGCTTTACAAAAAAACATCAACTACAAAGCAGCCTACACAGCACGCATATAATTGACAAGCTCACTAACACACACATGGAGAAACTGGGCAACAAGTGCTGTCTGCCAGTAGTGTACCGTTACTACATAGATAATAATTGAAATAAACACATTACCTAAATTGATATAAATAGGTTACTACAATAATGTTGCACTGTTATATTGTTAATGTTTGTTTTAACGTAATGGAATTGTCAATGAAATTACAGATAGACCTACACTTGTTTTGCCAGGATAAAAGAAAATCTTATTCATTGTCAATAGAACAAAGGCACACATTACACCCAGCATTTACCTTGTTGATGAGGGTAGGAGGAAATTTGTAAATTTGCAAACAGATTGCTTTGTTTCGAGTTCAGGAAATTATTAAGACCAAAGAAAATCTGGTATGCCAATATGTAATTCAATTAGGTATAAGTAATTACCTTTGAGAGCTAAAGCTGTTGTGTCTCCTGTGGTACTGCCTCTAGGGGAGCTGTCATGGCTGTTGTAGAGAATAATTAGGATCGTGCCTCTGCCCTAGGTTGTGTTCGTTTTGAGAAGGGCAATTGGGGGCACTATGTAACTTTTTCATCTTTGTATTGCTAATACTTTATCAGGAATCTCAATAGTTCCCAACCACCGGCTCATGGGGCACCTCTGGTTACTCCTTTGGTTATGGGAATACAGCATCAAAACCTCTGAACTTTGTGCAACTTTATCTTTCTTCTTCCAAAAATCAGACATGCCACGGTCATGACATCTCACATCCAAAAAGTTATTGTTGGAAGTGTTTAGATTCCATATTCTTTAAAATGTTTATGGTACACATGTATTTTCATTTAGGTCTCCATCAGCTTATAGAATACTTATTATTAACAAGATACCTGATCTGCTTGATTAAAATGTGTCAAAATCACATCAGACGTGGCAAAAGTAGAAGGAAAAGATGGGCTACTCTGACAAGCTTACTTTTTAAACTTGTTTTTGTTTCTCTGGTAAAGTTGTATTGAACTAATCAATTTAGTGAAGTAAAATAAAAGTTTTATATTACTTAAGTAACAAAACATATAGATTTGAACTTCGAAGCATGGTTAACCACAATTAAATAATTGAATTAGAATTAAATTCATTTTTTAACTAGTAAGTAGTATTTTTAGATGTATGCTGAATGTACAGATACTTGGGTTTGTAAATATTGAAGGTTGTCAGAAAAATAAGTAGTAAAGTAAAGTACTGATACTATAGTTTTTAGGCAACTTAAGTACAGTGCGGTACCTAACTTTCCTTTATTCATAAATAGCACATTAACCAAACACAAAGTCTTGTAAAAGTGAACTATAATTGAAAACAAATCAGCCCATAACATGCCGTCTTCATCTTATTAGAAAACATGTTATCTTTTGTATACTTGTGAGAAAAAATGCCTGTGAGTCACTATAGTTGACGCTTTGGGCTGAGAACTGATTGATGATATCTTTTTCTGTCTGAAAAAGATAATCTAATGACGTAGCTGAGACAGAGAAACTATTGTTAGATGGGTTCTAATATACAGTTACATGTTTGTGGTTTTGTGGTTCCCAGCTATTGTGCTGCCAAAAACTGTTTAGTTATACTTTCCACCTCTGTTTTTCTATACACTTGTAGACCTAAAGGAGCATTATTCTGCTATAACCTGGTACAATGCATCCCTCCTTTTGGCTAATGTATTGCATTTATTGTATACTGTCCTTTTAAATGCCATACCAAAAGAGACTCATAAATGTTATCATCAGGACCCACTCCTCTAATCTGTCTGTCAGTGTCAGTGTACGTACATCACCAGTAGGCGGCGCCCTTGCTCCCCCTTTCTCAAGCTTTCCAAGTATATGTGGTGAAACAGCGCCACCGCATGTTGATGGTGTGCACTACACCCCGTCCCCTTGACTGTCTCCTTCATTTCAGTGCAGTCCCAAACCGCAGGGTCCCGTCGAGCTGGCTGTCCTTCAGCGCGGAAGGAAACAGGGACATTGCCATGATCTCGCCGGAGTTCAATTTCAACATTTTGACTCGGGACTTGTCTTATTATGTGGAAAATCAGGTGAAAGTTGGACTCTTCGGCTCTGGTTTTGGATTCTCTCTAGTGCTGGGGTTCAGCGCCGCGTACACCTGCTACTATTTACTGTCCGTGGCAAAGGTAAATACATATGTCTGTTGTTTTACGAGCTTAAGTTTGTGCTGATTTATTAGTGTTTAGCAGCCTGTATCCTGGACAAACATGCCGTTCCAAGCTGCTGCAGCTGTACTGATGTTGCTGTTGCATTGGTCTGTGCCGGTGTATTAGCAGCTCTGCACATGGCTGAGAATGAGAAGCTCGAAAGACACCTTTACTGACATAAATAAAGGCTAACATCGGTAGCGACAATGTAACGCTTTTGTGTGATTGCCTTGCGTAATGTATCCCGGTACTTGTCGGCATTGGCTAAAGCTAGCACCGGCGACTTATGCAACACCCATCTCTGGTCTAATCGAGCACTGTTATAATAATGGTATTACGCTTGACCTGATGACTAATATGGTCAATTTATTTACAAATCAAACTCGTATTTCTGTCAAAACTGAAAATTACTGAACCTGAACCTTTGAACTTGTTGTAAAAACGTGTAAGATGTGTGCCATAAGTCCAGTTAGCCTGCACATGTTACATGCATCAGTCCTGTGGCTGGAGAAGCAAAGTCTGTAATGCACGTTGCTGTATTTGAGTTGATAATACTATCTTTTATCCTGAATGACTGTGGGCCATAGGTCAGGCTTGGTAATGGTCTTATTTGTCAGCTACACCTGACTGCTCCATTTCTTACTCAGCATAACAGCTTCAATCCAATGTGACCCAGTAATAAATTAAAGTATTTATTATGAATAAAAGATAGAGGGCACTCAAGAGTGTGACAGTAAAATGCCTCCTCATCATTGTTCTGCCAACGTGAGTGGAATGTAATGAAATTTACAAGCACTTTGTATTTTACAGAAGCCGCAGGTAATCTCCGGGGGTAAAAAGTTCTACCAGTTTCTGAGGGACCATTGTCCGGTTGTGTCAGAGACATACTACCCAACGTTTTGGTGCTGGGAAGGTCGGATTCAGACTTTGCTAAGACCCTTTGTTACAGCCAAACCTGGAGTTGTCTACAGAAAGTAAGTTCCTATTGCCCCATTTCTGTAAATATGAATAGGCAAACTGTGACAAAAGAGATTAATGGTATTATCAGGAGAAAGTGTGTGTTCACTAAGTACTGCTGCAAGTTTGTTCAATCTTTCACAACTGTAGAGAAATCCTTTCTTTGTCAAGACTCAAAACATTGTGTAAAGGGGCCCATTATGTACTTGTCTTCAACAAATGAGCACTCAGATTTTTTTTGCGTTGGAGAGCTTGTGTACACAGAATATAAACAACACAAAATGAGTTCATTTGCCATAACAGTTATGTCCGGTTTGAAAAGTGTCAAAAAGTGGTTTTCTTCAATCTTCCACATGTTTTGTTATTGGCTGTACAAATAAGTTTTGCCTTAAATCTATTTGTAAGGCACTGAATGTATCTGACTTTTCAAAAAAATTACTTGGTATAGAGTAAATAGTAAGTCATTGATGTCTCATAAATGTTTTTGGAACTTAACTATTCATATACAGTTCAATACATTACACTATGATTTTGTTTACTTTCATAATTTATTTCTATTATATATTAAGTATCACTGTTTTTATTTTTATTATTCTAATGAAAAGCACTATTAACCAGAAAAACATAACTTTCTAATTGACCCTAGAATTGCATATCAATGGCTTTTGTTGTAATATCAAAATTCTTACAAATAAAATTGCATATATCACAAGGTTTTATTCATGAAATGGCACTTTACCATTAGTTAGGTAATTTTTGTATAATTATTTGGCACAAGTACCAACATCTGCTGTGTCCTCTGTCAAGGAGACACTTATTGCCTTAATGCACTGGGGCAGCATCCATCTCACAAACGGGAAAGGGTGATGGTTACATTTCTAAGGTTATTGTCACACTTCCTGGGGGGACAGTGGACCTCCCCCTGTAATGAAGTTACTCAAGGTTGACACAAGGACGAGCCGTGTGAAAGGCGTCCTGTTTGTTGTACAGTTCAGGTGTAATTCCACTCATGTCGTTGTCCACGTGGAGGATTACTGCGCTCTCCTCTCCACCTTGAGCCTGGTCATTTGGGACTGGCCTTTGTCGACTTTACCCTCAGGTGTATGTTTCACTTTGGTTCTGTAATTTCAGGCGGGAGACAGTTCTACTCTTTTAGTGCGAGCATGTGGAGTTTTGTAATGCAGCACTCGATGACCTCTTCTGCCAAAAGTAAAGCAGCCAAAAACCCAATTGCCGCAGAAACCTCTGGTGCATTGTGCCTCTTTTCTGTTTAGGCTTGTTGCTAAGCATTCTGATAATAATGATGCTCGAGAAATGTCAAGGAGAGCTGGACTCACAGGCCATCTGAGGCGGTGATACAGAGCTCACTGGAAATAAGAACGAGAGCGATATTATTTATAGAGTGTACCAGTTTGTTTCTGATTGTATGAATAAATTAACCATTTGCCCCATAACTATCTATATTTTTATGTTCATAAAGGATAAATTTATCAATGTGCACAATATGCAAAGATATACTCCTGACCAAAATCCTAATTCATTGTGTGAAGAAGGGACACTGCAGCGCTCCCAACAAATCAATGCTGTTTAATGAGAACTGGGCTTTCAGGAACAAGAAAGTGCTTAATATACTGCAATGCACTGCAGTGTATACTTCATTTTAAGAATAACTTAGAGATATACCATTTTGGTGCCTTGTGTTAAGTTTTCATGCCCTGGTTCTTTGTACACATAGCATTTATTCATGTATGGATTGTATTATATTTTATGATTATGATACATTATTACATTGTATTTCAAATCTGCTTTACTGTTATTCTGTTAGCATATTTTAGCTCTATATCTGTGCCTTGTACTGATCTGCTTTGATGACAGTAAGTTAATGGCCTGCTCTTGACCTCTGCTTCGCGTGGCCGCCTGTCTCTGCAGTGAGCTTATTAAGGCAGCAGATGGAGGACAGATCTCATTGGATTGGTTTGACAATGACAACAGCCCCTCACATCCTGACCCGTCCAGTCGGCCCACTGTCCTGCTGCTGCCCGGCCTCACGGGCACCAGCCGAGAGTCCTACATCCTGCACATGGTTCAGCAGAGCCGCGAGCTTGGATACAGGTGGGTGTCTGTCCAAAGGTTTGCCAATGAGAGAGAGCTAAAACACTTGTTTTACTTAATACTGTATATCCTGATCTTTTTTGGATAATATTTCTATGAAAATGAGGTGAAAAAATATACAAAGTCCTAACTGACATTTGCATATGAAGAAAGCTGTATAGTATTTTTTGTGAAGGACATTTGTACTCATGCTCATACTAAACTGTTCAATATTTAAATATTTATTCTCTTGCAATCTAGAGTCTCACATTGTAATTGGTCCTTTGTCAATTATTGAGTGGTAGAGAAACTGCACTTGGTGTGCCAGTCCAACACTGCCAGCTCAGCCTTTGTTCTCTCGGTCTACTATATCATGATTGGTCACTCCCTACAAAGGAAGCCTCGTCAGACTTGAATGGGCAATGTGCTGCTGACTGTGCAAATCTCAGGATCTCGAGTCTCGCATTGACGGCGAATAAACTTTCCCTGCGACAGAATCTAATTCTACAACTCTCATGTACATTCAGTCTATTCTTTAACACTAAATCGAACCTGTATTCAGTTGTGCAGTCAAAAAGCAAGGTTTATTTTTTTTTATTTTTGATGACCTCATTCTCAAAAACATACATTCTAGTGTTGCCTTCAACGTTTAGTCCATATTTCTGAGTGCTGTATTTGTATCCATAATAAATGAATCTGCTTTACCATAAAACACTTAAGCCAGAAACACTATATAATGAAGCGTCCTTTAACACACTGCATGAAAGACCTAACTAGAGTACATCAAACCTAGAGTACAGGGTTTTACAAAAAATAAAGTGGACATCAAAGCGCTATGTCAAGTGCTGCTTTAGTAAATTGTCAAACGAAGCACACACAACTTGCAGACTGATGCACTTTTCTTGCCCATTTTTCTTTCTACAACTCTCGCATCCCTCCTCTTTCCCTGCACTTATTCTTTGATTAAAATGTTGTGTTAAAAAATACAGGCGAGCTCAGCAACTTCCATCTTGCTGTCACTCACCCTGCTTGCTCATGTCTGTCTGTGTAGCTTAATGAATTAGAGCTTATCCCAGTACAGGATTTTGCAGCTTAGGGCATACCAGCTTCCAGTCCATGCTGCCCCTCCACTGCCCCTTCAGCCACTACACCCTCAGATTTCCATGACTGCAGATTCAAGATGAGTGTGGGCCCCGTTTATTGGTCCTGGTTGATAGTGTTTGAGATGTAGTAATAATAAAAGGGAATGGCATGAATTTGGAAATCCCCATTGAAACAGGCAAGTTCAATAAAACGCACGATAAAAAGCCTTGGAACTGAATAAATGACGGATAGATCAGTGAACACCATACTGCAGAACTTTCCTCACATTATGATGAGCAGCTGACGGACCTACCAACAGAAAACATACATGGGCAGCTCTAACGAAATGCATTTGGGTGGTTTTAGGTGACGCAGGTCCTTTTTTTTCAATAAATCAATCAACTTTTATTTGTATAGCGCCTTTCCTAAACAAGGCACAAGGCATATTATGGGACTACATCACTGTAGTCCCATAATAGAGTTTTTCTGGAGGAGAAAAAAACATACTAAACATACTAAGTCTAAGTCATTCTAGTCTACTATAATCAATTAATATGAATTAATATTTATAATAATAGTGTTTAATTTTGTTTGCATGCATGTTTCAGATGTGTGGTGTTCAACAACAGAGGGGTGTGTGGAGAGACTCTGCTGGTAAGAACCTTCTGTACGATCTTTTCCTCACTTTGATGAGCCCAATCTCATCAGATCTCGAACGCTAAGGCAAGGATAGGCTAGTTTATTTGTATAGCAGAGTTCATGCACACGGCAACTTGAAGTGCTTAACAAAACAAGATGGAAACAATCGTAGAAGGCATTCAAATCATAATTAATCACAGTACATTAAGAGTGAAGATAAGAGTGAAGAGAACAAGTTCTGAACTATTTGTCAACATGGCGCCATGGCAACAGCTCTAGTGTGCAATATCTGCTCTGTCTGGTGCACACTGGGGGACTCTTGCACTAGTATTCCTTGCCTATGTGGTTTTACTCATGGATCTATAATAATAACTGGATAGGGTATTACTAGCTTATAGCTGTCCCACCCATGGGCACAGGGGGCGCCCGTGGTACTGCAAACTACACACAATACAATACAATTTATTCTTGTATAGCCCTAGGTCACAACAGAAGTCATCTCAGAGGACTTAACAAAACCATTGAAATCACCAACACAGGTCAGAGAATCAACAGTTAAAACACATTAAAAATATAAAGCACACACAGAAGAAAATGTCCATACATGTTGTAGAATGCTAAAGTGTCCTGATCATCACCAATCCTTTCTGTTGGACACTAACTGTCCAACAAGACCCTCCTGCATCGACAAGGAAAAACTCTTAAAAAACCCAGTGGGAAAAAGTGAGAAACCTTGGGGAGAACTAGGGAAACCCACAGGGAGGGAGACCCATTTGAAAACTAAATTCACGTGGGCTACCCAGAAAAAGTCCCATAGAACTCAATGTAAACTAAAACAGCTCGACCTAAGCTGACCATAAACCTACAGCTTTCATAAAGATCGGATTTTGTGGGGATTTTAGTGTCCCTTGTCATCCTGAACTTTTTTTCTTTTTAAATCCTTCAGTTTTCCTTAAATCCAGACTTTAGTACCACAAACTCTGCTGTTTTCCTTCCCGCTCTGACTCAGCTCTAGCTCCGCTCTGATCAGCAGTGCTGATTGGTCAAAGCGCAGCCGAGCCCCTCTGTGCGCGTGCATGAGAGCCACACACGCCTATTTGGCGCAACGCATCATGGGAGCTTGTCCACTGCACAGAACTGGGAGGGCCAGTCAATGCCCAAATATAGGCGAGTTCGGCTAATTTCTCTGCGCCCTTGAAGTCCCATGCGCTACTGAGCACAAGCCATTCATCTGAATAGGGCGCCATCTTGGATCACCAGGGCTTGCTTTTACTGCATATGGAAAATAATCTTAATCTGATTCAAGATCTAAATATTCTTTATTCATATTTAACATGAGTTTGCATAGTCTTCTGGTCGATTTTGCAAGGAACAATCTTCCTTGCATTGACGGTAAGGAAGATTGTTATTGGCCAAAGATTTCTCTTTTAATTAAACTAGTGTTAGTTGGCCTTTGGGTTTAGGATTTAGGATAAAATAAATTGTGCAAGTTAAAGATAATAACTGCAGCATGTTTCCACCCCTGAGGCTGCTTCCTTTCTTAGCTCCTTAAGCATTGGAACCTCAGGATATCCTCAGAACAGAACTATGAGGCCTCTCACAATGCACTCTTTTGCTTTTAACATGACCCACAGTCGCTGCATGATGGGTTTGTAATGTATCATAACTTCTACTGCATCTTGCAAGAAAATATTGTACATAAACAGAACTTTATAGAACAATAAAATACAAGATTCAAGCACAAGCACAAGATTTAAGCTGTTTACAGTGTGACACTATGCAGAGGAAAAGCATGTCTTTTCATTTACACGTGAAACCCAATGAGTGCACCTCATTTGTAAAATATTTGCAAAACATTTACATAGCCACTGGTTATGTGACGTCTTTGGACGTTCCCCATAGTTCCCTCGAGTGGTCAGAAGGTTTGGATTATCCAAACTCATCTGTAACTTCTAACTCTAATCAATCTTGTCCTTACGGCTCCAAAGGTGGAGATAGAAGCTCGTGGCTAGTGACCAGGTTAAACCAGGCTTCGCTTTCGGGGATGGGGATACAGGCCTCTCAGACCACATTCTATTAGGCATTTTCCACTTCTGTTTCATGGCTCTACTTGACTCAACTCGACTCCATTTGGCCCCAGTTAGCCCTGCTTGTATTTCCATTGCAAACCTATGCTGAGTGGTGCTGGGGATCATGGGCAGATTTAGTTCCAAACATGGTAGCATGTGAGCTTCCAGATAGTATATTGCAGGGCATGTCCAAACTAAGGCCTGCGGGCCAATTGTGGCTCTCTGTGTCATTGTATATGGCCCTCTGCCTTGCTCAAGTGGTTTTTGAGGTCATGAACTCCAGTTCACAGTGTCATACAGCCATCCTCAGCTGAGATAGATAAAAGGATGTTGTACCTCGTTTGTAAAGATAAGCACTTCTACAATTCAGCAATTCATCAATTTACTTGAATATACTGACATTTATCACAAAATGATAGAAGTAGATATGTAGCGGGTTAGATGGTAAACATTTGTCATTCAGCAAACTTCAGGTCTGTCAAAATAAGGACGTGACATGAACAGCCAGAATTCTGTCAAAGCAGTTTTACAATCGGCCCCTAACAAGTGTGATGAACTAGTGGCCCTTCTTAGGTTTGAAGGTTTGGGCACCCCTGGTATATTTTGAAACACACAACATGTAGACCTACAAACACCGTAACAATGCATGCATTTTTATACCGGCACTGGTGTTTGCTCAGGGGCAGACTTGTTGCCCAGCAGGGATTAAGTTTCAGACAGAGCCAGTATTTTAATGACGAACCAAAAGAATATGACCTTGTGGAGCACATGCTGTGCTGACACCTGGCTTAATCTATTCTCTTACACTCGGCGACTCGTTGGTATATTTATCCAACAAAAGCAACCCCTGGACATATCACAGAGACGATATCTCAGAGTGTGTCACTGTACTTTGCACAAGATTTTGCAGTATTACAGTATGTAACCAAGACAAATCTGTAGAAAGCACACACTAAACAAAACGTTCTTAATCTACGCTCACAAGACATATACAGTAGCTTTTCAAATTTCAAATTAAACTTTTCAAATGATAAAGTCTTCCCAAAAGTTTCCATCTCCCTCTATAACTTCTGTGGATGAGGTCCTGTGTCTTCTCTGGTGGTAAAGATGGCAAACAGTTTTAAGTTCCTGAGCAGCCATGCATGAACTGCACATTTGACCTCTCCACAGATTGGCTCAATGTCATCATTTGAAAAGAGAAATCACGTTTATTGGGCATTATACGGCTACATACAACCATGAATAATGAGTGTGGGTGGTAACATTAAGGATCTTCAAAATATGGCCAAAACAATGGCATTACTGCCAGGGGGTGTAAACTTTCAAGCACAAGTGTATTCTATATCTGTGGACACAAGTCTAGACTTGCTGGTTTATGACTTGTAAGTAGTAGTATTCATATTACTTTATACAATAATCCTCTTCATCTGCATTGGGAGAATGCTATGCTACAGTCCCATGATAAGTGCTTTCTTTATGGCTATGAAGTGAACTGCCTGTTGTCTAAGTAGGCCAGTGCGCCTAAACCCGCAGTGTGAAGGATGCCCTCTGCCTCCATTTACGCTAGTGCCCCAGATATACTGTACAAAGCCATGCTTTACTCAGAACAGATCTGTCTATAGAAAGCTTACATTGTCTGATTATTAGGCCTTTTCAGTGTTGAAGATTAATTAGATAAACTGTGTGCAGATGTCTCATTGTCGCCTCCAGAGAATAGTGGAGAACACAAGCTTGCATTTCAACGAAGGCTATTGAAAAGCAGGAAGTGAAGAGAATACTGAGAAATTTCTTTTACTAAATGGGATATTGTTGCTTTGTTCACTACATAATGTCTTTTGTTATTAGCAAAACATGATTTTCTAGTTCGAGCAGGTTTAGGTCTGATGATAATGCTGCCAGCCCTTTACTGTTATTTTACAGCAAAATCATTCACTCTAAATACAGAAATATAGTTTTATTCTTTACGTTACAGATGTCTACCATACACATATTTTACATTTGGATACCATACAAATAACATTAAGAGCTTATTTACAGTATACTTCTTTAGCTGCATAGTAAAATGTGTGCAGTGAATGTGAAATCTAAATACCAAATGTACAACTTAAATATCCTTCATTTGATATGTTAAAAATAACTTGAGTCTTCGATCTAAAAGGTATAATCTGATCGTTTTCCCTCAGACCCCAAGGACTTACTGCGCTGCGAACACGGAGGACTTGGAGACTGTTATCGACCACATTCAGAGGACTTATGCAGCTGCTCCTCTCATGGCGGCTGGAGTGTCCATGGGCGGGTAACCAAGCCTCACTCACCATCTGACTTTCCACTTCTCCACAGCAGAGCGGCACACACATTATGCTTTTGAGACAGAACCATTCGAAGGACTAGTGGAGAGATAATGTTTACTACGGCAATAGCGAACATCAAGTGTAAGAACCAGGTTTGGCAAAAAGGAAACTCAGATTAAGGCGAAGGAGATGGATGAATGGATTTTAGGCTAATTCCAGTTTTATTTTGGGTATACCTGGTTGCCACTAGTTCAGTCCTGGTGTGATCCTGTGGGAGCAATGTGAGTTCAAGAGACAGTAGGCGAGTATAGAGTACAGCCTTTTGATCAGAACAATGACTAAGTTAAACATTGCCATACAATACAAAATAAATAAAACTTATTATTATTATTATTATTATTATTAAAATCAAACAGTTTTATTTGAAGGCCTGGAAAAGTCTATTGTCCGCTGTAGAAGGTCTTTACAAAACCGATGCACTTATTCACTGGAGAGCAGATGGGGTTGCAACTCGTCTTCATTTTTATTTTTAGTAATCTTAAAGTGTTCGTTGTGGCTTGTCCATCCTGCAATAAGCCACACTTAAGCACAGCCCTATTTCACTCAAGCTAAATGATAAATAGACCATCTCCATGTGCCGTACCTGATTTAGTCATGCTGAAAATACATGAAACAATTCACACTTCCACTCTCTTTCCATACAGTTGATGTCAGGGAGCAGATGTTGTTTGAGGGAATTAAGAAAATGAAGAGGAAGTCATTTCAATAAAACTTCCTATTTGTTCATAATTGAATCGCCCACATCCATTGTACAAGCTAAGATATTGAACTCAGCAGTGGGTACCAGCTGGTTTTGTTCAACAACTTCCTCATCATCGTTCTACGAATAACCCAAGGGGACAAACTAATCAGGAATGAAGAGCACTTCAGTTTGTCTATTTTTGTTTAGAGCACCAACTCCTTTATGAATCTTGTAGCAGATTGCTCTTTTGTCTATCTTTAGTACTCTTGGTTTATTAGAATCATTCTCCTTAAGGCTCATAAACAATTGGACAGTACTTGTCCAAATAACAGCATTGTCTTCTGTACCTCCATCCATTCTCAGTTTGCTCATATTAAAATAGTATTTAATGGTGAAATCCTGGTGCTGACTTTTCAAGCTCCTCTTCAAGCTAGGCTCACATAGATTTGGTCATTTACATCCTTTTTCCTCTCCCTTAATTATTCAGAATGATGCTGGCGAACTACCTGGGGCGTAAGGGTCATGGAACCTGCCTAAAAGGGGGCGTGGTCTTCTCCGCGGGCTGGGACGTGTTCGAGTGTACCGCCTCCCTGGAAAAACCTCTGGATCGATTCCTCTTCAACTCTTACCTCACCAGCTGCCTGCAGGCCTCCGTGGACAGGTGTGCTTCAGGGAACACACTCACCCTGGGGCTTCAGGAGAACTTCTCCTCACACTTCAAGGAACACACTCACCCTGGGCTTCAGGAGAACTCCTCCTCACACTTCAGGGAACACACTCACCCTGGGGCTTCAGGAGAACTTCTCCTCACACTTCAAGGAACACACTCACCCTGGGGCTTCAGGAGAACTCCTCCTCACACTTTAGGGAACACACTCACCCTGGGGCTTCAGGAGAACTCCTCCTCACACTTTAGGGAACACACTCACCCTGGGGCTTCAGGAGAACTCCTCCTCACACTTTAGGGAACACACTCACCCTGGGGCTTCAGGAGAACTCCTCCTCACACTTCAGGGAACACACTCACCCTGGGGCTTCAGGAGAACTCCTCCTCACACTTCAGGGAACACACTCACCCTGGGGCTTCAGGAGAACTCCTCCTCACACTTCAGGGAACACACTCACCCTGGGCTTCAGGAGAACTCCTCCTCACACTTTAGGGAACACACTCACCCTGGGCTTCAGGAGAACTCCTCCTCACACTTCAGGGAACACACTCACCCTGGGCTTCAGGAGAACTCCTCCTCACACTTTAGGGAACACACTCACCCTGGGGCTTCAGGAGAACTCCTCCTCACACTTCAGGGAACACACTCACCCTGGGGCTTCAGGAGAACTCCTCCTCACACTTCAGGGAACACACTCACCCTGGGCTTCAGGAGAACTCCTCCTCACACTTTAGGGAACACATTCGTCCTGCGGCTTCAGGGATACTCCTCCTGGGGCTTTAGGGTACAGACCATAGATGGACAAGGCTAAACTCCTAGCTCATTTTAAAGCTTTTTGGCTCAAGATCAATAACACCATCCGTGGTTTAGCGCTCTCTACAATCCTGGTGTTTTCATGTTGACATCCATATATGAACCATCAACAGCCCACTTTGCGAACCACTGTCCTTGTGCTATACATCAGATGTGACAATCTTAGAGCAGGACCAGTCTCTCTACTTTTGAAGATTATTATGATTACATCTTTATGGTTTAACATTCTCAATACATGATAGGTACAACAATAACAGAAACACAAAAGCAAAAGAACAATAATGGACAAATAAAGACAGACAGAAAAAGGAAAGGATTTTTCCTTTCCTTTTTCTGTCTGTCTTTATTTGTCCATTATTGTTCTTTTGCTTTTGTGTTTCTGTTATTGTTGTTAAAGCATCAATTCGAATTTATAAATAGATATATAATTAAAAAAATACTATCCAACTGCTTGCCAAGTTTATTCATATTTTCCTATCTTTATTGGGATTGTGAGTCTTGTGTCTTTGTGAATAAATCCATATAACAAGTTTAAATTGTGCTAGTTGCATGTTGTCTATAGTGCATTTGTATTTCATAGAGCTTTTCCAAGTCACTTTGAGATCTCGGAGAGTGGGAAAGCATTATATAAAAAGTGCATTTGCATGCATTATTGATTCCCACAACATTTATTAATAAAAAGCTTTTAACCAGACATTCAACCAACAGTGCAATTTTATCAAAAAATACTGTATAGTTTCTCTACTGCCTCTGCTTCCTTGATTTTGTGAGCTGAGGTGGTTAAGATTTTAAAGCTGGAGTACCCAATTTTGAAACCACAAAACATATGTTAGGAAATATGTATTAGAATTCTTGTAAAAACGGTTTTCCGGATCAGGTTTTCAGGCAGAAAAGCGGAAAAGAGAGAACCACACACTAATCAGCTCTCAGTATGTAAAAGATGAATCATTTTTCTAAAAAGATAAAGACAGCATGTTGTGGTCTGATTTGTTGGAACAAACAAAATGTATTTATGAAACAAACCCAAAGTTAGGTACTTCAATGTTAATGTTCTGTCACTTTATGGATTGTGTGGAAAGTTGCTCCTAAAGACATGACCTCTAAAAACCTGTGCTGCTATTTCTGAATTCCTTTAGGGTATTAGCTTCTCTGCCCGTTCCTTTTCGTCAAAACCTTGTCGGCATTTATAATAGACGTGATTTCAACCAACTCCGCTGATGACAGTTATTTTTTTATCTGCCCTTAGACACCGACCTGTGCTTGAAAAGTGTTACGACATCGATCACGTAATGAAGGTAACGACTCGTTTTTGTACCTGCAAAAGTTCACTTAAAAAACAGCCAGAAATGAAGTGTTTTTTTAATTGCTTCTCAGGCAAAGACAATTCGTGAGTTTGACGAGAGGTTTACGTCCATAATGTTCGGTTACCCCACTAACGATGACTACTACCGCGATGCCAGTCCCATCCACAAGCTGAAGACAGTGCAGGTGCCGCTGCTTTGTCTGAACGCAGCTGATGATGTCTTCTCTCCAGGTCATGGTGAGTGCTCTTTATAACAAGGGGATGTCTCACTCTGCACTGTTACATGTTAAAATGATCAATTCATAATTATACACCAATGAAAGCAATATCTATTTAATTTACATATTTGTTAAATAGCCACTCTACTACTGTGACTATGGGAATAGCCTTATTAAATCAATCCCCGTTCCCACCAGTCCTCTACTCTACTCAACTCTACCCCTAATTGGAAGTGTTTCTACCAGCTCTGTTTAAATGTTACCAGGTACTATCCAAGTGCAACCTGTCAGGAGCAGTGGTGGAGTTATATATTAAAAATGGCTTAAACTTGTTTCTAGAAGAGTAGATCTTAGTTTAATAAACATTTCCTTCTGCAGCTTTACCCTTTTATACAGTCTTAATAGTTAATTCAATTCAATTCAATGCTTTATTTCGGACACAAGAGTAAAAGGTCTTATAAAAACACATTATAAAAAACAAAATACAAAGATAAATAATTTCCTGTATAGGTTCTGAAGCTAGTGAGTCCATAATGATGACTGCTAATCCTTTTGTTTGTAGCAATCCCAGTGGAGGCAGTGAAGCAGAATCCAAACCTGGCGCTGGTCATCACTTGTCATGGCGGCCATATTGGATTCCTGGAGGGTCTGTGGCCGCGGCAGAGCACTTATATGGACCGAGTTTTTAAACAGTTCGCAAAAGCCGTAATTGAAGAGGGCAGTCGCCTACAGAACCTCTCCTGATGACCCTCCTCCTCTAGTTTTATTTCTATTTTTCCACTTCAATATCTATTGGTCATGTATCATTCCTGAGTTCTGTTTGGGTTTTTCCTTCACTTTAGCGTTACTCAGCCTCACTCCCTCATACCACCTTGTTCTCATATTGCCTTACCACATCCATAATGCATCACAAATCTAATCTATTGTGTTCATAGGATGTGGGCTCCATTTAAGCCTTTAGTAACCTTTCCTTAACAGCACTCTGCACTTCTGCTGTATAGCTTTTCATATTTATTGCCATTATTTTGTATATTCTTCCATCATTCCCTTTTAGTCAAATGTAAGACTTCTGAAACCTTTAATAGCAACAGTTGAAGTTTAAGACTGATCAAGACCCGCAAATAACTTGATTCTTGTTGTTCTCGGGCCTCAAGCAAAAAAAAAATTACGAAGCGCACAAATTGTCAAAGACATTACATTTTTGAAATGTAAAATGTTGACAAGTGAAAAATATGTAAATTAAACCAGAAGTATATTACCATGTTTAATTGTCACTTAGAACTTTAGGAATTGTGATGGGTAAAAATATTTCAAAGAGTAGCTAAATTGGTGTCCAAAGTAGAATTAACAGATGTACATTTTCTTAGCACTTTTCTAGCACTGTAAAACCATTTTACCTCATGCATTTGTTCCTAATTGTCATAACCTGTGTGTGATTTAAGTCATGTTTTTGTCCTTGTTACTGTATGCACCTTTTCACATGAACGCACAAAATAAGTCTATAAATGTAACAGTTGAATTTGTGACATGAGAATGTGTAATGGCACTGTTTTAATTAGAAAATGACATCCAACGCATTGATTCATGATCTATGAAAGGATATTCCCCCATACATCATCAAATTAGAATTAAAAGACATGTTAGTAGTTCAAGGCCAAGTGCACTTTTAATATTTAAACACTTAAGTCATATTTTTGTCTTATAAGCCATAATTACAACATATGTTTTGCTCTTTGCTATTACAAACGAGCTCCGTCCTTTTATTCTCCTGGTCTAGTCCCAGATCAGATGTGGATTGTTCCTGATTCAGCACTGGTTTGTTTAGACCACCTTCATTTGAAAGCCAAATATTGTCTGATGTAATACTTTGCATGAAATATTGTCTACAAATCTTAACAATACAGCTTTCACTTTGAATTGAACTACTACAATAAACTATTAGCCTGTTTCAATTCTAATTCATTGATGTGGCATATTGAAATATTGAAAATGTCTCCATTGTGAAAATGCCAGTGCTCTGTCATTAATGTGAAGTGTGTGAATGGCAGATAAACATGAAGGCCTTACAAACACATCGTCATAGGGAGGAAAGTAGCACACTGTATTGACACAAAATCCATGTTATTGAACTTTTAAGCTTGCTCCTGATCTACTTTTGTCAACAATGATGGAATAATTTATTTACCTCCATGGGCCAATTTGACCCATCCTTCCAATGCCACTAGGACCTCTGTCAGGAGAAGTGGATGCCATAGGGGAAACCACCGACTGGTTAGGGCCAGGGCTAGAAGATTTCACATAGTGGTTTTAGTGGTTGGGGGAACCTACACAGAAATGCTAACTCCACTCCCAAAAAGACCCTAGACCAACTGAGATTTTAACCCAGGACCTTTTGGCTGAGAAGCGAGATTACCACTGAAAATGCATAAGTGTCTGATTAGTTTGAGATGATAATGATACAAGACATTTGTGGAATTGGCTCAATCACAAATATGTAAACATACCAGTAGTATGTCTGGTCATTGGTTTGAGCTATGCCCTTGCTGTAAAATGTAAGGTATTCAGAGTGGCTTTAACTGCTAGTAAGAAATGCAATCGTGGCAGACTAAGTGTGGCCATGGGTTGCAACAATGTCTTATATGGGAAAACCTTTAAGACTCTGCGGTCTTGCATTTCTACACTGACCTCGATCTGCCCCCGTGACTTTGCAAGCGCTTTGATTTGGATGCCATCTAGTGGTGGCTTAGCGAACTGGGTGGGGAAAGAAATTGCAAGACAGTACCGAATTTTTAATTTTCTACACCCAGTAACTCAAGCCAACTTATCCACTTTTAAAATTCCAATAACGTAGATTGTTGCCTTCATCTGGAATTTAATTAGGCCCGACCCCCGAACAGGGTAAGGGCCTATTGCTTTCACAATGGTGAATGCCAATGGTGGCGGTGCGTGACGGACGCGTCAGCGCCCGTCACTCACCCCAACGTGACGGTTGCGTGCGTAAACTCAAACGCTTTAAAATGATGTATCACGTGCCATTGAAACCTATATTGTTTTTGCTCGAGACGTCGAGAAAAAAAAAAAGCCTTATTGTTTTTGCTCGAGAGATATCAAATTCTGCACTTTGAGCCTTAATTTCAACCCCTGAACATGCATGAAAAGTTGTAAAAATTTTGCCCGAACATCACACCTGGTGAATAATTTCATATTTTGGCGTTTATTTTTATGGGACTCAAAAAATGCCAGAACAGCGCCACCTACAACAGCCAATGGGAGTTTCAGAGGTCAAGTTTGTCGTAGAGCCATGAAATTCAGTACACATGTTCCTCAAGTCAAGATACGACCAAAATGTTACCATGGCTCCGCCCTCTGACAAACAGGAGGCCCATAAATGTCACTGCAAAATGGAAAAATGATCCAGCAATCATTTTCATACATGTCGGTTGGAAAGCGACTCCTCCTCGGCCGTTTCACCGATTTGCCTCAAAATTACTCCAGATCATCTCAACACATGTACCTTCAAAATGACCAAAGGGATTTTTGATCAGTGAAACGTTTGAGCAGCGGAGCGGCAAAATGTGAGTGACCGTTTTTTCACAACATTAATTTTGCACAAACAAAGTCTGAAAGTTTAGTGCAAAGTCTTGCACAAAACTTGAATCCAGTGTTCAACTCCAGGGTTTAGGTCAGGTGAAAGTGAAATATTTGAAATTGGCCCAATAGCGCCCCCTACAGATTGAGGCAAAGTTTGACATGGGGTGCCAAACAGCTCTGATCATATTCATTACAATTTTACAAACGTTCTATGGCAACAGCAACAAATCACACGGCAGCCCCACCTCCTTTGCGCGGTGCTGCGTGGTACCGCGTAGTGCGGGGGGTTGTGGAGCAGCGCGTTGCGGCGCGGTGCAGAGCCACTTGGTGCGGGGTGGTGCGTGCGGTGCGGCGAGGGCCGTTTGACGCTGCTTGCGGCTTTAATTTCTTTCTTCTGCACTTTCAGCCTTAATTTGACCCCCTGACCATGCATGCAAAGTTGTTAAATTTTGCCCAAAAATCAGACCTGGTGAAAAATTAGATAGAAGGGACAGCGTTATAAGTTTGTGACCGAAGTCATACCAAATCTTGCACGTTCTCCCAATGGGTTGTTCTGACCAAAATTGAAGCAGATTTTAACCCACCCTTGCCAAAAAAAAAAAAAAAAAAAAAAAACAATAGAAGCGATCCACCAGTTCCCACAAAACTTTGCTCAATGTTCTAATTGCAAACTTATTCCCAGAAGACTAAAGCCAGATTTCGTTTAGTAAAATAGCAATTTATTAATGTTAAGCTTAAAAACAAGTAGCAAAAATGACTTAAAACTCTTGTGACTGCACATCCTTGGCCGTGCGGTCCTCGTCTCTGCTGGTGCCCTTGGTCTTCTTGGGTTGCAGCGTGGCCTGGATGTTGGGGATTACGCCTCCCTCCGAGAACGTAACATGGGACAGTAGTTTGTTTACCTCCTCATCATTCTTCACAGCCAAGAGGATGTGGCGAGGGGAGATTCTTCGCCTTTTGTGGTCTTGGCTGGCGTTTCCTGACAGCTCCAGGATTTCTGCACACAGATATTCCAGGACTGCTGCCATATAAACAGCAGCGCCAGCTCCGATCCGCGCTGCATAGTTCCCCTTCCGTAGCTGCCGATGGAGACGTCCCACTGGGAAGACGAGTCCAGCACGAGCAGACTTTGTCGTGGATGATTTGGCAGACTTTGAGGAAGCGGCTTTCTTTCCACGGCCAGACATTTTGCCTACAGAGAGAACACATTAAAAGGACGTAAAAAAGACCGTTACACATTGAACTGTACATTTGGCCTAGGTCTTACAACTCTACAAAACTCAAGAAAGCCAAAATCTGGTAGATGTCTTCCAGAAGGGACATCCTAAATATAGGATGCATGGTCATGTTTGGTAAAGTTTTAAACTTGCTTAAAAGTTAATTGGGAGGTAACATTTGTCAGAGAGCGCACACAGAGAGAGCCGTTGCCTTCCACTTACCAGCTTTCCAGAGGCAGAGCAACACGCGCACAGCTCAGGTCTGCACGTGCGGCTTTTACCTGCGCTGATTGCAGATTGTTTTTTCACCTGGTGCTGCACGTGACTCCGCCAGCAGGGGGCAGCAACGAGCCTTCAACGTCATGTAGGTGTTTCGGTGGGATTGAAACACGTCACACATTCAGTCAAGCAGCATAGTTACATTCATACATTCATATATTGACGTAAAATATAAAATATGTAAATTTCATTTAATTTTAAATTACAATTTCAAGTTGACGCAAATGTCACCAAAATCCATCCATCCATTTTCTTCCGCTTTATCCGTTGCCGGGTCGCGGGGGCAGCAGTCTAAGCAGAGACGCCCAGACTTCCCTATCCACACACACTTCCTCCAGCTCGTCCGGGGGGACCCCAAGGCGTTCCCAGGCCAGCTGAGAGACCCTCCAGCGTGTCCTAGGTCTTCCGCGGGGCCTCCCGGAACACCTCCCCAGGGAGGCGTCACCAAAAATAGAAATTAATACTAATATTCATTTCTAATAGATAATTAATTCTATTTCTAATAGAAATAGAAATGTAACCAAAAATAGACCTATAATGGATCAATATAATATGTTTTAGATACTGTGTCATCCGAGATTAAACTGTTCGTAACACGGCTCAAACCCAAGATTTACCCATTTGCCAATAGTGCGCTTACTGATGCAGCGGGGTGAATATGTGAGACAGCATGACGTGTGTTTGAATGTGGGAAATGTGTACATGTTGGAGCACTGTTGTAAATATAAGATAAACTTTATTAAAAAAAACAGGTTGTGTTTTTATGACTGTTGTATAATTAGTATGTCGAATGAAAGGAAAAGCTTCACTAGGGACTAGTTGAGAATTAGTATTTGCTATATTAATAATAAGTCGCATCAGTTGCACCTTTCGCTGTAACTTTTATGCATTGTCCTTTTCAAATAAGTTAATGTATAAAACAAATACACTGTGGTTTCAAATTGGTCCTGATTAAATCCAATAATTGGTCCCAACTAATCTAAAAATATTTGCTTTTTCTAAGAGAGATGCAGCTTTGTTTTTATGTTCACAGGTCCAGAGTAACATGCAAGGACCCTTGGAAATGTAAATAAGAAAATAAACATTAATCCACAAGATGATATTGCAGACACACAAAAAAAAACAGTCAAGAAACAGACATGTTGTTTTATTACAATCATAAATTTCAACAACAAAAGCATGGCCCTAAGATCATGTGTCCACAATCTTCAAACACTGCGTGAGGTAGATCAGTGATACCAAGGCTTCCACTGGGCTGCAGTGAGATTTCAACAAGATTGTGAAAGCAAGTTGCATATTAAGTATCAATATATACAAAAAGACAACGTTTTACGCACAAAAGCAGTTTGATTTGGGGGCTGATTTATTATTGTGAGAAATATATGTTTTTGCTGATGGCCTGTTTAGTGCAAGTAAACATTTCCCACCCCTTTGACATTCAGCACCTCTATGAAGGAATCATTCAGGGTCGTGTGCAAAACCTTTGTGAGTGGTTTTAAGAAAAAAGGGACACAGCCACTTGTCTTAAGCGGCATGTGAAAATTACACTATGATTATCAGCCCAAAATGTTCAATAAATAGGAATACAACATGGACTTTTTCAATACAAAAAGCGAAAGTTTACAGACATTACGGTAAGCACACATCTAGGTAGATTCTTCTTGTCTTGCACAAAGACTAAAACTGGCAAAAATACACAAAACATTAAAGACCCTTCATTGTAAAAGGGACAATATATTAGTATTGTAAACATTTTTAAACAGTAGTCCAAAATGAAATCTCTCCATTTTGCTTAATTTATTTTCTTCTCACAGTTTCGTGGTTTCTTCATTTGTTGGTCCAAAAGACTTAAGGGACATAACTGGCAACATAAGCCTGCTTTTCACCAGCCCTACTCTACTCTTCTCTACTCTGCTACTCAATCTCCATAGGGAGCATTTTACCTGCTTAGTTGGCCCTCAAAAGTTTCCACCAGCCCGACTTGGCCCAACCCCACTCTACTCGGCTCTTCTCTACTCTATCCTATCTGTTTAATTGGTACCAGTTAAACCATTTGGCCCTGGTTGGTACTAAAACATTTTTACCGACTGAGTGCTGCTGAATGCCACGGTTACCAAGGAATTTCCTCAGGTACTGGTTTGTTGTAGATAGGTTGCTAGGATACGGTACCAGATACTAAAGCGTATTGGAAACACAACCAGATAGAGTAGAGCTGAGTAGAGTGGTGTAGAGCAGAGCAGAGCACGGCCAAGTAGGGCTGGTAGAAACGGGGCTAAACTGCTACTGGCCAGAGTGCTGCTGGAAAGCCATGGTTACCAAGGACTTTCCCCAGATACTCATTTGTTGTGGGTAGGTTGCTAGAATACGGTACCTAATATTAAATGTAATGAAAACGCAACCAGGTGAAGTAGAGCTGAGTACAGTAGTGTAGCGCAGAGCAGAGCAGGGCCAAGTGGGGCTGGTGGAAACAGAGCTATATCTATTTTCACCATTAAGGCATTTCTTTGGACAACCCTGTGCAGAAAATATACATTAAAAACATTCTGGTTTCAAGTATGAATCTGCGTGACCTGCTGCTTGTTTGAGTACCAAAGATGGCCTTTTCGTCTACATTTTGATTGCTTTTGTCTAAACATTTGGCAGTGATTGCGGTCAATTGATTTCCAAAAGATTCATAAAGCACATAAAATTAAGAAATGTACCATGATGTATTAGTATACTGCGGTATGCTAAGACGGCAATAAACCAAATGTTATACACGCTCAATATTACAAAGCAGAGAATGAATCACAAAAGCAAAAGGTGCAACAGAGGATGTCTTTGGTATCAACTTAAATTAAAAGAGTAAATACAACACACAATAAAAGGAAAAAAAAAATACCTTCAAGCAACTTCCCTTTCTTCTCCTTTTAAAACCCTGAGACAAAATGCACGTTTCAGGCTGCATTCGTGCAATACAATCGTCACTAGTCACATTTTCACTTTAGGGGCTCTCATTTTTGTGGCCATTATCACAAATCTGACTGATTAGAGTTCTTCGCTAAGTCCAGCTTCATACAACAGTCAGCTACGCAGAAGAAGCACTTTTTTTTGGGAACTTTGACTGAAGACGGAGCATTCGTAGGTACTGAAATACTCAAACGTGGCGTCCTGTTAGAAAGTACAGGGGTCGGTCTTCGCTGCAGTTTGCCGTTTGAAACTCGTCACGGAGCCTGAACTGCCACTCGTCCTCCAGCTCCAGGCGAACGATGGTCTGACGCAGAGAGCTCCGGTCCTGGCAGATCACACACAACGTGGCTCCTGTGGACAAGACCAGTGTGAATAAATCTATGTTGTCTAAGATCAAATAAATACAAGTTCTGTGGAGACTTTGAATAAACTGTAATACTGGTGGGAGAATGTTCGTTTCAGCAGCTGTTGGCCTAAGTGAGTAGCTAATGTTATATCCAACAAGAAATGTTCAAGCTGGAGGTCCTAACTTTATTTGTTTGTCCTAATAGAAATGTTTAAGCAATATTTTGTGAATAAATTAGAATTGGAATTTCACTGTAAAGATGTAACAGAGGTCAACAATAATGTGAAAACTAGTGGTGGTTTTGTTTGGTTTCAATGTTAAGTACACCAGCTTTACTACAGCAAATAATTATATGACAAATTTAAATAGAAAGGTTTATTGCGTGTGGGAATTGTGACAAAATATACCACAGTATGTTTGACTCCAGGAAGAGTAGTAGTTTTTGGGATCAACATAACCACTATTACAAATGCCAGTATATTGTTAAGTTGTGCATTTCTGCCCTCCTACTGTGCAGAAAGTAGAGGAAAACATAAATACACCTAGTAGAACTAGTAAATATATAAGAGAAAAAGATCAAATGTACAAACATCTAGGTACGTGGATGACTTCCATCCTGGACTTTCCCCTAGATTTTTAAAGATGCAAAGATTTTATGGCAAGTCACATTATGAATAGTTGTATTTGTGAATAACTGTTGCTGTTAGCCTATTCTCAATGTAAATTGACATGTTCAAAACAAAGTCAAGAAACAGGTTTGAGACCTTTGAGAAAGTGGAATTTCTTGAGGAGTCCGGAGACGACAAAGGAGTCAGTGAGGTACAGCAACAGGCCGCTGAAGACCAGGCCCTGGTGGTTCAGGTTGGTGGAGTGTGGACGAGAGTTTATGTAGCATACGGAAATCTGAAGAAGAGATCACAATCTTTTGATTGATGTTATCAAAGAAGCATGACAAAGAAATAGGACTTTGCATCGATATGGAACAAGAGTTACAGGTTTTTGTACTATTATTTGGCATCAAGGACAAACTATGAAACACAAGGATCACCATGTCACAGTATTATGTAATGTTGAAAACGACACATTCCCCATGTACATCACAGCAAAGCATCACTCGTATGGAGAAGACAAAGTGCTGACCTTAGGGCCAATGTTCAGGTAGCTGTCGATGGACAGAACAGGGTTGTTCTTGTTGTGAATGGCCAAAGGGAAAAGTCTGTGGCTGCAGCACTGGAGGAACTTCTCCAGGAGGAACTGAGCCGGAGCGTCCAACAGCGTCTGCTCACTGTCGGGGGCACACACGTACTGAGACGGGCTGATGACCGTCAAGTTTTCCAACTTCTGGAGAAGAGTGAGGCAGATTAGTAGTCATCATTCTAATGTTTCAAAAAACAAACAAACTAAAACCAAAAATAATTTACCACAAGTTTTGGTTTGACCAGGAAGTCTTTGTTCCCTCCAACTGGAATGTGTTTCTTCATGAGGCTGAAGTTGTTGAAGCGACAGAGTAGCAGCCCACTGCTGTTCACTCTCAGATTAAAGTCCACCTCCTCACAGGTGTACCTGAGGGCACACACACACACACACACACACACACACACACACATACACAAACACACACACATACACAAACACACACACACACAGTGTGAGAAAGGACACAGCCTAAAAGCACAAGGCTCACAGACTCAGACTCACCGGTTGAGGTCGTACTGCACGTTCTGAGTCAGGTCAACATTGAGCATCACGAGGTTGTGGAGGTGGCTGCGGCTGAAGGGGCTGATGGGAGCGCGCTGGCACAGAGCGCTGCTCCACTTCCGCGTCCCACACAGAGCATACAGTGAGATCTTAGGGGTGTTCTCTATGTGCTGCAGGACTGACTTCAGAGACACTGATGTAAACACTGAACCTCCATCTGACACAGCACTGAAGGACAAACATTCTCTAAGATGATATAAAACATGACAGTAACTGCTGCAGTGTGGGACACTGACCTGGAGTCCAGGGGATGGTGGACGTTCCACAGCACACACGAGTCGTCCATCATGACGATGAAAGGCCACACGTCCTGCCTCTTCACACCTTGCTCCTCCTGCCGGTTCCTCTCCAGCTCCAGGTTGTGGTACGATAGTTCTTTGATCATGAAGCGTGCAGCACCTACAGCAACATTAACAGTTTTTTCAATAATAGATATCTTCAAAACCAAAGCAACACGCCATTAAAATGAGGTATTGTCTCCAAAAGATTTCCACTGAACTGCATGATTCACCTACACATATACTGTTGGCCATCTCTCACCTTAAATGTTTGTGATTTAGACCCTGTACTGGAGTTAAAGTAACTGTGATATCAATGATAGTGTGTTTATTATGGTAGCACAGCCTCGACAAATCCATCGCCTTGATCACTAACACACGTTGATTAACAGATTCTATTTACCAACTCCAGCGTTGTTGAACATAGCCGGCAGGACGAGCAGGATGTGGTTGGGCCAATACTTTCGGTACAAGGCCATTTCAAAATGCTTCACCACCAGAATGTGCAGATGGTTCGTCCCCTCCATTGCGTGGAACAGGTTCAGCAGACCATGCTCCTGACGTCCCGTGGTTGGAGTAAATATGGGACTTTTCAACAGCTCTGGGTTCTTGGGAAAGAAGCAAAGATTTCAAATTGTGTCTTTTACTTTAGATTGATCAGAATAACGACACAAGCTGAAAGATCACAAAAGTCTTTCGTTATTACCTTGCGGGAGATGAGAGGCAGACGCATACTTTCGAGGTGGCTCCCCTGCTGGCTGAAGACAAAGTGCTGCTCCTTGGATTTAGGAATGACAAACTGAAGCTGGACCTCCTCTCCCAACATGGAAGAGCTGAAGGTGAAGCTATGAAAAATGCACTCAGACAGCTGCACACAAGAGAGAAAATCGAGAAGAACGTTGATTCAAATCAGGTTAAAAACAGCTGTGCATACAACTGAGGTACTGTATCTTCATTCCTTTTAATGTACAGTGATAACTATTTAATGCCTTGCCTGTCTTGTTTTGTTACACACTTTGCGTTGCCTTGTGAATGAACTGTGCTATAAAAATAAACCTGTCTTTCCTGCACACAAAGAAAACAGGCTGTGGTTGTAAGAGAGTAAACCACATCCTTTATTCCCTGCCCCATGGGACTACGGATGGAAAAAAGCCATGAGTAAATTCGGTGTATCATCAATGCAGACTGCCCTTTCTGTCTTTTAATGTTGTTTTATGTCTGTATTTGTCTGTGCACACTGGAGACTTTTTGCTAATGTATTCCAATGTGGTGTTTTTACTGCAAATGGCAAATAGATAAATCTGAATCTGATCTATTAAAATAAAGAAATAGGAAAACGGGAAACTCGGACAATTGAAATATTGTTCAAAATTTCATTTATTTCTGTAACTTAAATGTGAAACAAATATATGATATAGACCCATTATACAGAATTATGATTATGGTCCATTTTCAAAAAAAGTCTAATTTTCTGAGATGTTTTTATTTGGGGGTTGTGAGACAATAATGATTATAACAAAGGCTCGGTATATCTCACTTTGTGTAATGAGTCTGAGTTTCACAATGAAAAATTAATCACAGAGGTAGAAGAACTTTTGACCGATATTCTAATTTTCCCAGTTTCACCGGGAATAATAAATTGTCACTTATATGGGTGTTTGGCCCAAAAGGAAAGCAAGAACTACTTTAGTGTACATATTTATTGGGTTTGTTTCTTATGTCTTTACCTGAGCAGAGGGGCCGGCCTCACAGTAGTGGTGACACTGTTCACAGTGATGAAACGCATTGTGAGCTGCGAACGGACTCAGGCGAATGGATGTGGTCTGTCGTTCAACTGGATTCTCTCCATCTTGTTCTCCATCTGCTCATAAATTACATTCATATTTTTTGTTAGTCGAAATAAATGTTTAAACAAGTACTGTCTACAAAATATTTCCACTGACTTGTTAAGCTCTTGGGCATCTTCTCTGAATATACAGCACTGGCATTCTTAAACTGAGACTCACGTGGAAAAGAGTCAAAGGAAAGCTTGTGAATGTCTTCGATGTCTGGCCACCTGCTGTTCCCGGGACTTGTAACAGCAACATCTATTAGAAAAAAAGAAATACCGATAAGAGGACTGGGTTTGGTTTTGTAAGACATGTGTTTAATGTTTTAAGTCAAACAGACCTTCCTCCTCCTTCACTTCGTTCTCATCGTACACATCCACCTCCAGCAGTCTGATGAGCATCTTAAACAGGATCCGGAGAAACTGCAGGTAGGCCCCGGTTTTACCCACCTACGGCACAATGATTTATAATGTCATGCATCATTTTAAAGAAAGAAAACAACCTGATAATTGAATTTTTCCAAAGAACAAAAATCAAATATTGACCTGTGGACTGTGCCGGAATGTGAACGTGATGTATGTTTTTTTTAAATAATAATTAGTATTTAGCCCCTGTGGAGCCGTAAAACCTCATAAAATATAGAGGAATGTTCAAATCAATAGCAAAAATTCCTTTTTAAAAAGTATACGTAGAAAGTGTCCCGGATTCAGGAGCTTGTGAAAGAATTCTGCTCCTAAAGGTCATTTTTTTAACTGCTCACCCTAGTCTATTTTTGAGAGTGTGTATCCACGTAATGTCTTTTACCTGCGGTGGTCCACTGAGCAGCAGGCGCCTGGGATGGGGTGCTGCCGGGGCTTCATGGTCTGCGTGGTGCTGCCTGGTCGTGGTCCACTGTCTGTAGTAGACGCTCTGCTCTGGTCCCTGCAGGTCTGGGGTGACGAGGGGTCTGAGGGGACTGCTCCACGTCACATCGGCATGAGGCAGAAGAGAGAAGGAGCTGAGCTGGCTGAGAGCCTCACCAGACAGCAGGTTGTACGCCGCTCTAGACATGATGACGGTGCGCGGCAACACTCGACATGGTTTGGGGGGCCGTCCGCATTGCGTGGACTGACTGGGCTTTTGATTAGAGGAAGAGGAGGGTGAGGAGGAGGAGGAGGAAGAGGAGGAGTAGAGGGATGGAGGGGTTTTGGCATCCTTGGACAGAAGAAGGCCCCCCGGAGAATCGCACTCCTGTTTGAACACAGTCTGAGAGCCAATCTCCAGAGTGTGGACGTCCGAAGGGCCGCAGTCTACAGCGCAGTGTGACGTCGAGGGCTTTGGGAAAGTTTCGGCATTGTCTGAAGAACTGACTCCATTTTCTACCAAGGAACCTGAGCACAAACATATCATCCTTTTACTCCTTTTACCACCATACAGTTTCAGAGACAGACGGCTCCACCCTCGCTGTGTGAACCCTTGCTGGGTTCCACAGGTCTTTCCTTCCTGCTGCTGTCAGGCTGAACAACGAACAATGAGGACTGATGAGCACTCCCAAACTGACCTCACATGTCCTGCATCTGTGCAATATGTGCAATTTCAGAAAAAGCAATATGAGACAACATGTGTCCACTGTCACTTTTAGCCCAGAGCCCCATGCTGCTAACATGTACAATAGTTACATCATTGTAAAAAAAAACAGAGCTAACCAATCAATCATGCAATCAACCTTTATTAGTAGAGACTTATTACCTCAATATTCATGCACTTGAGTGTTCTACACATTTATCTGCGGATGTTATACATGCATATTATATACTTTGCTTTTATTGAGCTAAAGAAAGTTGTGCTCCTCATTCCTACTGTTCAGTAACTTGTAGTGCAACAATAACATTTCTAAACTAAGGGACCAGAGGCAATTCCCTGGGAGGACACATTTCCCTAAGGGGACAATAAAGGCTTTCCCTAGGTCAATCTATTGGCATGACATACATCTATAAAACCAAGGTCATACCAATCACAATCATATAAACACACGTTTTTCAGAAATTCACAAATATCACTAACCAGACGCTCTAGTGGCTGCGCTGCCATTGCTCTGAGGTCGCTCCAACTCATCTCCGTCTGGAGTGGGGCCTTTCTCCCCATCAAACCCAGGGGCCATGGCCTTTTTAGGGTCTCGCACTATACTTGAGGAGACATAGGTACAGGCCAAGCCAACCTCCTGCTCCAAAGCTGTACGGGTTAGGAAGCTTGAGTCAATCAAGCGAAGATCACAATATTTCAATGACCTGAAAGACATAGTGTAGTTAATATGAAATGGTACTACCAATCATAGATAAGGAGAATTTTATGAAAAATGTACTACATTAATTTCAGCATTCATTGGTGCACTGGAACTGGTTTTATCCCCATCCCTTTTTAACTCAAATGAAAGTGCATTACCTGGGGAATGTTTCTCCAAGTGGGTCTTTGCCAGTCAGAATAACAATACAAGGTAGTCCCTCAAGATCCTCATAGGTTTTTGGGGCCCACTCTTCATTTTCACATTCTCTCCAAGTCTAAAGGAAAAGATATGAACTCGAATGAAGAATCAGGAAAAAGAATCCTATTATTTACCCATATTTGTCAGACTGTACTTTAATTTCCTGTCTTAAGTGGGTTTACACAAACATGTTTTTGGATTAGGGTTAGGGTGGACTGACCCTGAGGCGATTGTTGAACACTTTGGAAAGGCTGAGCTCGGAGGCAGGACTCCCCAGCAACACAGCGAAGCACAGAGACAGTCCCAGTTTGTCCCGGACATCCTCTAGCCGCTCACGGGCCAGCATAGCCAACTGCAGAGAGGGCACCCGCACTAACAGCATGTGCCCTCTGCCCTGGGAGCCTTCTCTGCTTGGGGCATTGATCAGGTCCTCCACCATGGCCAAGGTCTCGGGGGTGATGTGGTCACGCAAAGAGGGGGAGGAGGTGAGCGCCATCATGGCCTCAGTGTACTGCTGAATCAGCAGGTAACTGCGGATCACCATACTGTGCAGGTGTGGGTATCTGAGGAGGTGAATAGCCAGAGTTAGTTTCACCCTGGATTAAATATCTGTTCAATTCTATAAACACAATAAGCATTCACCTTTCAAGAAGGGTATGGACCATCTTCTCAAATGCATCATCACAGCGCAGAATGGGACTGGCCACACCCCACTGCAGGGATTTGCTGTAGTCACTTAAACCAAAGTAAAGCAAATCCTTTGGCGCCCGCTCCCCCTGCTGAACAAGTCAAAAATGAGTTGGTCCTGAATCATTATCAATAAGAGCGTGGTAAAGTGACATATGTGTAAGATGCTCCTTACTAGACTTTCGTTGGAGGGCCAGTGGACTTCGTTCTGGACACTGATGCGGGACTGGTGCGTCTGCAGAGTGTATGGGAAACAGCTGACCTGCAGGACGAGCAGGTTCATGGCTGTGAGGACCTCTGGACAGTTCACCACTCGGTCAGCCAACCCTTGCAGCTCCCCGTGGCACACAGAGCCTGACAGAGCACTGCAGAACACATTGTACCAGATTAACAAACAAACCCTCACAAAAGGGTCACCTCCACTATAAATGAATTAGAAATATTTCAGGAGATATGAGCAGCAATAACAGCCCGTGAAAGACAAAATAATGTGTTACACTCTATATCAGAAATAAAAACATTCTACAGACACAGTGTCGTTGACTTGTACCTTGTGAGATCGACGTGGGAGTTGTCGTGGATGAGGACAAACAGCGTGTACGGGTTCTGTTTGACTTTTCTCATGAATGCCTCCATTTTGGCATGAACATCGCCATCCAAGCGTACCACATACTTCTCTGATTTCTGATTGGCTTGAGCAATTTCTTCAACTCCAAGGTCTACAAGCACACCTAGAGAAGCAAAAAAAAAACATCCTTGAACATGAGCCAGTGCCCTAGCATATCTTTGTTTATAAGATATTAACGTATAACAAAATGTCCTTGGACCTGATTGTCGAATCCGCTGTGCCGTCTGTTGAACCAAGATATGAGAAGGTGGAACCAAAATAAGAAAGTCCACTTTACAAAATCTTCCCAGGTCAAGGTTCTGTGTGCTTGAGTCAGCGATGGAGCAGACTTGCGATAAGAGGCTGCGTGCCACTCTCAGTTGTGTTGGATAGATCTGGAAAATCTTGTTTATAACCTCCTCTATTCGAGAAACAAAAGAAAAAGAGAGTATTAATGTACTATGCCAATCCTGGGGCATTATAAAGCAACATGTTAGAATGTCACATATACACAACTTACTTACTCCAAAGCCAAGTGTACATAAGTTGTGTATATGTGACATCACAACCTTCCAAAGAGCCTATAGTTTAAAAATGTGGTAGAGGCCAGTGGAAAAATCTATATCTATAGTAGGTGTCAAAAGTCAGAGTTCTAGTTTTAGCTTAGTTCTGTTTTTTTGTTATCCCTGGGCGAATCCACATAAAACAAAAAACTTCCACAAAGTTCAACAACCATTTTCTCATAGAAGTTGTCTAAAACTTTTCTAAATGTTTGTGAATCACTATCACATAATGATCTGGGATTTTTTTTTTCTTTCAAATAATGTTTCTTTCCTATAGAGTTTAATTATTACCGGCCCTCCAACTGAAAAGGAATTCTACAACATAGACACAACCCATTGTCGAGCCTGTGGAGCCTGTTTGTAAAAGTGTGAAAGAGCCTGGGGGCAATCTAACCTCTGTCGGAGAGTGGCGACATGCTGGCTGCCTCCTGTGAGTGGATGTGGTCAGTCACATCGCCCTGAAAGGCCGGGACGCCCTGCCCCTTCTGCCGCCGCTGGTATCGCACCAGCTGCTTGTCCAAATTGTCTCCTGCAACAGCAGTCCACAGTCACATCAGAGTAAAGATACATTTTGTTCTTTTAATAATTCCCTTTTGCCTCAAGTTGTTTGTGAGTGTTTAATTGAGGGCCTATTGCTCAAACTATTTCCTGAAGAACTGAAGTAACAATGCTTAGGTAAGACTGCTATAAAACTGTTTTAATGTGACATGAACCATTCCAGCGATTGCAGGTCAAAACTCATTATTTGAAAAAAGTCACGGGACGTTTTAAGGATAAATTACCACAAGATTTATTATTGGGCTTTTAATTTTGTTTATATATATATTCAAGCCAAACTTATTTCACAAGTCCTCAGGTTGAGACTGAATTCACTTGAGCTTGCAGCAACATCAGCCTTTGACGATCAGTTTGAAGACCTTAGCTGTAAGCGCAATTGTTGTAGACGAAAACTTTATAAAAGAGCAAACAAATGTTGAAACTCACCAAGAGACGTTGTCTTGAAGTGAGACGCCAGCACACTGACTTTGCCTGTGATGAGCTCGTAGCTGATTTCCTTCAAAAACTCATTGGTTGTCAGCATGCCTTCTGCTAAGGCTCGGGCTTGGTATTTCCCTGCGAGGATCACATTGGTTAAGACATCTGAATCTTCTATACAACATTAGTAAGTAAAGAGAAATAGTCCATTGCGGCTTACCTAAAACCAGCACGCAGAACTCGCTGCCACTCATTTTGGAAGCGCACACGATGACGACGTAGGTGGGCAGGCACTGGTGGACTGGACCTTCGCTCAGAGTCCGCAAAGACTCGGAAATGCCCTCTCCCAGGGAATTATGGGTAACCACAACCTGTACGCTGCCACCGGAGACACTGGCCTCGAGCCGAGCGAGCCAGGGCAGCTGAGCCTGGATGATGGTTGGGCCTCCAGAGCAGGACAGCATGGCCTTAAACACAATCTGCTCCAGTTCTTCTTTCAGTGGGATCTGATTAGGACCTAAAGCAACGCATGAAGGGGATGGGTTATTTTTTACAGTCTATGGTTATGTCAGGACACGCATGAGAGTTCTAAAATACAATCATGAATAGATATCCACAGCAAAAAATGAAAGATAAAACTGATAACAAAAAACTTCAATACATTACATTCTGAACTATCAAGGGATATTTCCAGCTGTTTAAAAGTTTAAATGATTATGGTTTGGTTGAACGTGTGTTATAAACTAAATGTATTATTCTAGTTGTAACTCTAATAAAAAATGTTTTTAGAACAAATAAAACACTTTTCATGGAGATACTAAGTCAATACCTCTCATGAAGACCGAGACAAAATCCACTGTCTTGGTCTATACTTGGTCTACCTTTGCGTATAGAGATATACTTTAGTGTCACAAAAGGAAGTTTACTGTGAGATCAATAAAGAAGTATCAAAAAGAAGAAAACCAAATCTTAATGTGAATTGAAGTAAAATAGCGCTATAACTTTAACGAGAATATATTTTATTCAATACATCTCAGCATCACACAGAAATAAAATTCACTTGACTCGTATATCAAATGAATAAAAGTTGCTTACCTAAACGGGCCAAGTACTGTAGCGTGAGCAGGATCATGGTCTCCACGCTGAGGAGCTGGCTGCAGCTGAGGCCCAGGATCAACAGGCTCTTTTCAGTTAATTGGCTGCTCTTATAGCAGCTGGTCAGCAGGGGGCTCACCACTATGTCTCCCACATTTCCATAGAAATAAGGTAAAGTGCCATGCCCTGCAAAAAAAAGAATGGAAAATGATGTGTTGGATTTTATGGAGCACTTTTTTGACACATGGAATTATTCGTTCACTCCATACATTGTGCGGGTGAACTACTACTGTAGCCTGAAACAAATCTGCCAATCTGTGCTACCGACCCCCCGACCCACTATCAAGCATTCAACCACACACCAGACTCATATAAGGCAATGTGGGTGAAGTGTCTTACCGAAGAACACAACAACAGTTTATCACTTTTTTTGTGGTACAGAAACTTTCACTGTTTAAGAGAAAGAACTGCTCGAGGGACCGAAGCATGTTTGTCTTAAATAAAACATTCAAATACCCTTCAGACCTAATTTTAAGATAAAATACATCCTCTTGAAAACAGGGCATCATTGTGACATCAGAGTTCAGGAGTTAAATTAAATTGAGTTAAATTGGTAGAAATTAATATGAAAGTCTATTCAATGTATAGTTGTTTATTTGATTTTTAATGTTGTACCAATGAGTATGACCGGGCGAACTCCTGAAGAGTTGAGCAGGTTGTCCGGGACGATGACCGTCTCTCCTGCAGTGACTGGCTGGGGTTGAATAACGGCAGGAACTGGAGGCTGAGGCACCGAAACCGTCATCACAGAGACTGCACAGAGGAAGAGACGTGTGGTCGTTCACATTTGGAGATGAGAATTTGTATGATTATTATTACTTATTCAGGTCATTAGCCAAAACAGAACTATTACATACAAACAAGTAAGCCTCAATGTACTATAATACAGACTGAAAGGTTTAAGTTGGATAGTAATTTACCCTGTTTTCAAAATCAAGATGATGTCAAAATGTAGCAGTTTCATAAGAATCAAACAAATGTGCAAGGAATACAACATGTTACTTAAAACAACTACTAAATCAAGACTAATTTAAGGTACTCCAAGATCATTCCTTTTACTGCTCCATGAATTTGAACTTGCACTTGACCCAATAATACATTTAATAAATTATTTTCATTTTGATGAGCCAACTCAGAGTGAACACATTCATATTTACAACAAGTTCACTTTCAAATGCCTCAGTTTCAATAACATTTCAAGCTAAAATTGGTGCATCAATCCATTACAAGTTTTAAAGAGATCAAACATTTCATATTCAAACTGGAAACAAAAGGAAAGCATGCACTCCCAGATGACCATTTACTCTAATCCAAATTGTTCTCATACTACGAACCCAACACAATTCCAAAACTTAAACCCAAACAGGTTTTTCAAGACTGAACCATAAGTGAATAGTAGCATTTACAGATGACATAGCACTCTCAAATAGCAGCAGAAGAAGAAGTGGCGTGAAATGGAACATGTGACTGGAGTATTTATTTGAAATGCAATCCACATGAAAACACACAGAAAACCAAGGCTGCCAGTCGTCCTCGAGCAGCATGTGTGTTTCGTATGTGATGTAATACGCCAACGAAAACAATGCCAGCTCAATGTTACTCAACTCGATTCATTTTTGTATAGCGCTAATTCACAACAGGACTTTACAAAGTTGTCATTTTGCCAAGAATAGATCAGAAAGTCAGAGAAAATGCAGAAGGAATAATAAGCACATATGAGCTCTTTGTTTGTATATAGGGAGCAGAAACGTTTGCAAATGTGCATAAACCAGTCTTAGTGCGTTTTTACACAGACAAAGCCATATGCCCAACGCACTGAAATGAGCTTAGAGGTTAGTAAATGACATAAGAAGGTCAAGGCAAAGCTTAGGAGAGCGAGGAGTCTGTAATGGGTTCAGCCTGACCTGGAGAGCAGGCTATGGGTCGAATAGCTGGCACAGGCACAGCAGTAGGTGGGGGGGGGACCATGGCGCTGGGGTGTGAGGGGTGCCAGCTGCGGTGGCGTTTCTTTGGGGGTCCGCTGGTCATGGCAGAGGACACTGAAGGGAACACAAGAATCAAGACACGTCAGAGAAAATAAAATCATGGAACGCAAGACATAAGGCAATGTGAATGTACAGAAAGTGAAAGGGACTGGAAACATTTTAATAAATTATTAAAATGTATCAAGTTAAAATGATTGGATACGAGACTATTACTGTATTTCCAACAGTTGTTAATTTTAAAAAAGTCATTTGCGATACTGAATTTATCAAATATATAAACAAGAAAAAGTGGCACAAAAAAGGCTGAAACAACATTACAATTATTTATATTCATTGGCAATGGAAATATTGTAATATTGTTAAGACTCCACCATCACCTGTAGATCTGTGTGGACTGAATGTTTGTTATTTTATATATATTCTTTTAAAATATGTGAATTTGCATCTGAAATAATGATGAATAACAATAATAGGAAATATCCATTTTGTTTCTGGACACCACTTGAAAATATAACGACAGATTATACAGATGTTTTACCTGGACTATCCCCGAGGTCTGTGGAGCGGTACACCGGCCCCTGAGTCCGGAGGGAGACGGGGGGCGGGCTGAGCAAAGGCGGGTGGATATCTACCAGGCCGTTAGTCGGAGCATTGACCCTTAAAGCGGTGGGGACTGGGGGAAAAATAACAACCAAATATCACAATACAATTCATTTAACTATAACCAGGGTGTGTTGTAATTTTAAAAAGAAAAAGAGGACAATAATACCTAATTCAAAGTGCACAGAATTGGGTTATAAAAGTCAAACATCATCTGTTCTTCTGTGTTTTATCGATGCATCTAAAGCATTTGATCGGGTAAATCACTGGAAATTATTCTCAAAGCTGAACGAGAGAGGGGTGCCTCGTTATATTGTGAGAGTTTTAGTATACTGGTATGCCCATCAGGTAATGCAGGTGAGATGGGGTAGATCCATGTCGGATCCATTCTCTGTTAGTAATGGTGTCCGGCAGGGAGGAATTCTCTCTCCTGTTTTATTCTCCCTCTATATGAATGATCTGTCCTTAGAGTTAAGTGCATGTAAAACGGGCTGTATGATTGGGCCAATCCAGGTGAATCATCTGTTGTATGCGGATGACCTTGCTGTATTCAGCCCTAGTAGTGCAGGTCTACAGGACCTTCTCAATGTCTGCTCTAAGTATGGTGTAGAGTATGATGTAAGGTATAATGCAAGCAAAAGTATGATAATGTTATGTAGAACTAAAGATGATGTAAATGTAAACTTTCCCCAATTTAAATTGTGTGGTGTTGAACTAAGTGTATGTTCCAAATATAAATACTTGGGCCATTTTATTTGTGATGATCTGTCTGATGATGAGGACATTCTCAGGCAATGTCGTATGTTGTACGTTCAGGCGAACATGCTGGTGCGCAAGTTTGGTGCCTGTACAGCGCAGGTGAAGAAGACACTTTTTAAAGCATACTGTACGTCATTATACACGGCACATTTATGGACCAAATACAAAAAAGCAACCATCCGCAAACTCAATGTGGCATACAATGACTGTCTGAGGATTTTATTGAAAAAGCCACGATGGGAAAGTGCAAGTACTTTGTTTGTGTCAGCTGGAATAAGGACATTCCAGGCCGCCATGCGATGTTTGATGTACAGTTTTATTTGTCGGCTCAATGAAAGCCAGAATTGTATTGTCATAAGCCTGACAAATGTCAAATTCAGTGCTATGCGGTACCAGTCAGATCTGTGGAGACACTGGTACAGCTGTTTGCTCTGAGAAGTGAGGCTTATTGTTGTGATTACATGTGTTGTTTTGTGTTTTTATGTGATGTGTGTTATGTGTTATGTGTCTTATCCTGGACCCTGAGTCTGTAATAAAGTTTGATATGATATGATATTCGTGGGCAAATGTGTTAAATGTCCTGACTTGACAGTCATAAATCCTATAGTGCGTGCGCACACTGAGCTATTGATTTGTATGTGTAACCTTTGCTTGTCATTATCTATCAAACTTGCAAAGAGGCCAATAGGTAGCAAGGCCTAAAAAAGTCATTACAGCATTCCTTCCTTAAGTATTGAGTGATGTGCTAATACAAGTGCACACACAGATATATGTGTGTGTGCGTGCGTGCGTGCGTGCGTGCGTGCGTGCGTGCGTGCGTGCGTGCGTGTGTGTGAGGAGGTCGACCATATGCGCCTGTGTGCGACCACGGCCATTCCAGCTTCATGGTCGCTTCTACATGTTTTGTGGGGCATTATAATGGCACATGTACGCAGGAGCAAGGCCATGTCAAATACAACACATTCAACCTTTTAAGAACCACACTTTTAAGAAGCTACATTTTTCAGCATAGTGCTTGAAACTGAGTACATTGTTACATGTGTGGTTGGCCTCCATACATTTTTCCTCTTTGCATTGTTTTTCTATCACTGAATGTTGTACGTCTACTACTATCAAAATGCTCAATGAATAAAGCCTTGGTGCGAACTGTTTGGGATAATATGAGAAACATAATGGATTTTGTAATAATTAATACATACACTTTGGGTTTTATCTATCAGGTCAGGTGTGCAACTGATTTATGATGTGCAAATGTACATGAACTGAACCAGGAACATTGCAGACACCCTGTTACTATATTATAGATTAGCCTCGGTAAATGTACCCATAGAAAAACTCAAAACATCTTTTAATATTAATTATTGACTAGTTTTCTTATAGGAATTCCACAACCGTAACATATTGAATGTTGAGGTCCAGTGTGATTCCCAAAAAATGTTGTTTGCTCAACCATTCACTTACTTATTCTGTACTTTTTAATTATCTGAAAGACATGGAAGTTCATAGCAATTTGGTGAAATGTTTACTGTATTAAAAAAGAAGAATCACTAATCCAAAATCTAATAATGCCTGGGCTTTCAATACAACACCGTCACTACACTATAGTAACAATGAAAAGTTAGCAGAGCACAACCAAGATTGACTAATCCAAATGACGGATAAGATATGAAGAAACTGAAGGGAGCTCAGAACATGATTTGTCAATATCTTTTTTATGATTCATATTATTTATTTCAAACCTGCACAACACAACAGCAATAAATGGGTTGAAAACATGTCTATTTCAAGGTACATACAGTGGGGCCTGAAGCTGATGGAGATGGTTTTCCTGATTCTTACCTATAGGCAGAGTCTTGTTGCCGGGTGTGGATGTGAGTGGTTTGATAAAGTTGGTATCTCGGCTCAGGTCATGGCTGCTGTAATAGGACGGAGGCAGAGATTGTCTGGATGGAGGAGAATCTGTAGATAAAAAAATACATGGAAAGCCTGTAAATAATACCGCCTGAGTCTCACTGACCTCTCTGAGAGCAGAACGCACTCCGAGGTCGTAGTCAGGGAGATTTTTGGAATGAATTATGGGGAACGGAGCTCGGCGACACAGCTGCCTAGCATTAATGTGTGATGAGAGCACTGACAAATGCTTTTGGGTTTAGAGGAAAATCAATAGAAGCATAGAAACCAGTGAGATTTTCCAATCACAGAAAAAAATAATTGTATCCCAGTATATTTTTATTAAAAACACACTGATCATACATTGCATTCTTAACATTTATTGACTGCCAGCAACTATTACTTATTCCCTCTGGAAATGAGCAGGTAATTGCTTCATAGATCACAAGGTCACTCGTTTCTATACGCCTCTAATATTTAGACTGCGACTAACCCACAAAGCTAATGCAAATGTTCTCCTTTTGAAAAGTTCCAAATAAATTACAATAAAACTTAATTTTAGTCCTAACAACATATATGATGTACCTACCAATATAATACCTCTATCCAACCCTATCCAACGCTCTATTCATATTCTAATCTTATATGATATTCAGTGTTGGGCCAGATGTAGGTAAATATATATATATAGTATCATATATTAATAGTTACTGGGATAAAACATGTATTTGTTTTACAATATTACTTTTTTTTTTTCACACAACTTCAACATTAGTTTCATTGATCATATTACACTGACAGGGTCCAGGTATGAATCTTTTATAAGACCTTTTTTATGCAATATGTTAAAACTGAGCAAAAGTCAGTGATTTGACTAAGTGTTAAGTGAATGCTGCAGAACTCTGGACGTGACGCTTAGGCTGTGAAACAACAATAAAACATGTCTGCATCTTTTGTCATTTTCTTCTCAGGTTTTGTTTAGAGGTCGTGTCTCACTCTGGCCACCAGGATGTGGAATATGCTGGACTCTGACTGTGTCTCTGGTGAAACTTTGGGGGAATTCAAGGAGCACCTGAGGGTGAGGCTCAGGGATGAACTTTTTGAAAACTTCCCTCATAACTAGACTCTGGGGTGGGAGGGGGCATTTAATTCCAACGGTCATGTGACCCTGTAAATGTAATGTTTTTTAATTCATTTTTTTTCAAGGTTTAAAAAAATGAATAAATAAATCAGAATTTCAAGATGAACAAAGCTCTTTTTAGTTCCACTCAAGTTATATTTCACAATAATGATAAATAAATAGAGGTAAACAACGAGAAAAAGTAAATGTGTCTTTAAATTTAATCTGCGTGTAATTTTACTAGTCACACAAACGAATGAAACAGTAACTAGTTTCTCCCAACAAATCATGCTTGACTTGTATAATATCAATAACGTTCTATTCAGCAGTTTCACAGAGCTGGTCCAGGGGCATCTGTCCTTACCTGACAGAGACTGTGGGGAGGAGCTGTGTCCGCTGGTGCCTCCATGGTCTTTACTGCTCAGAGAGGAGGCGGAGCTGGGTTTGGACGTGGATGCACTGTTGGCGAACTGACGGGTTTTACTATCTGATGAACACACACACACACACACACACACACAGTGATTCATTTTTTAATGTAAGTCAGTAAGTGATCTTTATTCATAAAGCACATTTCACAGACCAAGGTCCTCCACACACGGTGACGACCAAAGCGAGACGGCGAACACACTGGCACATCAAAGCCTCTGACCGTCACCAGCCCTTTACACCCTCCCTACATTCATATCAATTTTTGTGGTAGGGTAAACCGGAGCACACGGAGGACACCTAACTTTGCACCAGAAGGTCTGGAGGTGGAATCAAAAAATAAGAGCTAACCACTGCCTGGCACGATTCAAATCAATTGTTATCTTAACTACAACAAGCATGTTAGTATTTAATGTATATATTCAGTGGTTTACTCAACTTAGTATCTCATCCGCATAATAATAATAACTTGTAGTATTCAAAATATGTATAATTTTACCTTTCCAGCAAATGAGGGGTCCTTTTGACAGAGCACCTTGTGAGTTCTTCACCAGGTAGTATTTTAAGTGCTTCTGCTTTTTGGGTTGCGTAGATAACTTCAGATTTATGTGGTTTGAAAACTCCGTAAAATATCGGAATCCCTTCTCTCCACAGCCGACGCAGTTTCCTGAAAAACCTGATAAAAAAAAGTTAATGAAATCATTTACTAAGAGTTACATTTTAAATCACACATAAAGAAAAAGCATAAGTGTCACAAGTGATCCTCTGCTAAAGATATTTAATTTATTGCTGTAAAAGCCTTTTATTGATTCTGAGCCTGCTTTGAAAAAATGTTTTGTCAATGGCACAAATTACTTCCAATATTAACAGTTTATTGCAATATATTGTGTTTACAAATGTTATTGCGATGAACCGTTTAATCAGATGATGCATATTTCAGAAAGGTTTGCCTCGAAAGTGAGATCTTATGTAAATGAGACAGACATAAACTTTAGCAATTCATAAGGCGTCCCCACACAGAAGAAAGAAAACCTGTGTTTTTTAACCCATGTCAAAAAGTTGGGTAAGTTGTTTGTTTGTATGTTGCTTTTAAATTACATACAACATTTCAATAATTCAGAAGGAAATTCTTGTGCCTCTGAGAGCTATAAAATCACTTAAGTCCAAAAATATATTGACAATATAAATGAATACAATGCTTCTAAAATAGAATCAAACATTGAATTCCAAGGCCAGCTGCTGCCTCGTGTTTTAGAGTCCGATCGTAATTGTATTTTCAAAATACAATACCGATAAATGTCAAAGAATTGTTGCAGCCTTGGTCAACATTTCATGTAATTTTCCTAGTTCTAACTACGCTCTCTCATGTCCCTGCTCTCAATACTTCCCAGCGGCTCTCAAGTCGAATTTTAACATAAACCCATTTTCTCTCAGTGTTATTATTCCTTATCACAGACACTCTGGGAACACACTGACCTAAAAGTGCATTTTTCCCGTTCTCATCAGGCAGGAAGCGTCTGTCCACGGCACACACCAGGATGTGCTCCGGGACACTGGGCGACTTGGCACCGACCAGCTCGAAGCCCGCCGGGACGTCTACCGGCTCTGTTGCTATGGAGACTAGCCGCAGGTCCTTACCGGCTTGACAGAAACCTGAGAAGAGAGGTTGTTTTTCACTTAGGCAAATGTGACAAGACAAATAATAATATAAAGAGAAATATTTATTATTCTATGTAACTAAGGGCTGCTTCCTTGCCACCATGACAATGTCTCATTTGCTAAGAAAAGGAACACATTTTAAGATGATACAAGAGGCTAATAATGGTAACTTAGCACATGAACAAGCAATATTACTGCAGTCATTCACGCTCCGGACTCATCCAATCTAAGGCAACTTATGTCAAGTGTCTTTTCTAACCACACAACAACAGTTTGAGTTAGCCATGTGGCACCTGTGGCACCTCAAAGTCTCCCATCACAGTATTAACAAGGCCCTGACCTGCTTCACTTCTGAGGTATGCCAGAATCAGACTTTCACATGCAGGTGGCCCCACATAATTAACTCTGGTTGCTTTGACCTGATGCTGTCCACTATTGTCTTTATCTACTATACTTTTCATGATAATAGGTAGTAGCAAGTACTGTGTGTACTTTGTTTTTTAGACAAAGTACAACAATAAACATGATACCCTCTGATCTTACACCTCTCTCCCATTACTCGTTGTGTGAGAATACATTTCAGAGTGCACAACAAAATGGGATATCCAGTTTAGATTTCAATGATAGAAATGAGGACATTCTGATGTGATCTCACCGTCCAGGCTGCAGCAGCCGTCAGGGGGAGGGGCCTGGAGGTACGGCAGTGGGGGGCTACTGGTGTCTGAGTCGTTGTCGTCCTCCATGTCCTCCATATCGTTTGACGAGTGTCCGTTCATGTCATGGTTTGCCGTCTCTACTCCATTCAGCTCAGTTTTGGGTTTTATGTCTGATGATAAAATATAAGGCATTTTATCAAAATCTCTATATTACTAGAGCCTTTCAATATTTATTCTATATATTATTGCACTCTGACATTGGAAGTTTTCTAAAACCTTCAAAAAAGTATGACCAGATAAAATGTAAGTTACTAAGCAAGTAATCTTTATTCATATAGCATTTTACAGACCAAGGTCATCCAAAGCGCTTTACAATTCATATTGTTTTCATTCACTCCACACACTGTGATGACGGAAGCGAGTCGCCGCACAAAGCCCCCAACCAACCCCATCCATTCACTCACTCGTTACATCCATACCTATTGTACATGTTTTTAGTGCTAGGGGAAACCGGAGCACCCGGAGGAAACCCACACAGACACGGGGAGAACATGCAAACTCCACTCAGAAAGGCCACGTTCCAACCAGGATTCAAACCCAGGACCTTCTTGCTGAGAAGCAAGAGTGCTATCCACTGTGTCGCCCAAATGTGTGTCTTTTCAATGACAATATTTAGGAGTGAGAGTATTTTATTAAAAAAAAAAAAGCTGTTTCCACTAATATAACATTGCTGACCATTCATTTGAGTGAAATGGATTCATTCAACAAGACTCAACCTTGATTTACAAATGTATTACTCGCAGTGTCCGGAAAACTGCAGTAAAAGTTTAAGTAAGCCATACATTAATATGTTCAAGACTCTCTAAAGACCTGTTCTGCTATCAAAGCAGACCTCCTTCAGCTGATTTATACCCAACAGGCTTCCAAAACGCCATGGCTGCGCAGTGAGCTGCCTTTGGTTTTGAAATCTTTATAACCACCATTAAAACACGCCATTATAATGTTGCCAAATCAGAAGGACATGTCAGTTATCAATAGTTACAAATAGAGAGTGAGTGAAGGTGACCGAATACGAGCCGTGTCCTTCACCGTTTAACTGGAGGATGTGTTTTTACTCTTACCCTCCACGTTTCCAGGATACGGCTCGGGCTCGAGGTAAAGCTGAGTGAAGATGGGCTGTGGGTCCACGCTGCTCGATCTCAGTGAGGCCTCAATAGAGTTGTGCAGAGCCTCTTCAAACCTCGCCGACTTCAGCTGGCCCGCGTATGAATTACCCATAATTACTATCTGTGAAAGGGACGAAGAGAGACTGTGAGGCAGCAGATAGATTAAGTTAAGGTTAAGTTCATTTTTGTCATCATAGGTTTGGGTTAGGGTTAGGGTAAGGGTTAGGGCCAGTTTGATAAAAATATACATATTTTTTGTTGACACAGAAATAAAACATGAGAATATAATAATAAAAAGCTGCATTTTGTCAACAAGTCAGAACATTTGTATTTATCTTATTAAAACATAATTGCATCTTTTTGCATATTTGTAAAAAGATACAGGTGATTATAGAGATGATTGTGAAGGTGGTCCTCTCTTTTTCTCTTTTCTGTCTAAAAAGAAGTGACAGAGTCCCAAAATACATGCATGTGGAAAACGGTTGTGAGAGAGAGGCACTATTTTTATTTTTATTTGATTGGAAAGCTAGGTACTTCAGCTTTAATTTAAAAATTTTCTTCTCTGAATGTTTAAGTACAATTAAAATAAATTAGAATAAATAAAGGTGTGAGTCAAAATGTAAAAAATAGGGACGTTTTAATGAAAATTATTCTATTACTACAAGCATGCATGCACTAAACGATGATTATAAACCATCCATACATCCATTTTCTTCCCCTTAATCCATTTCTGGGTCGTGCAGGTGGCAGTCAGAGCAACACCCAGTTCACAGAGCACCAGCCCCTCACTGATCCCCCTGCAGGTGTTGAGTCCACAGGGGCCTTGATCTTTCAGTGGGGGCTTCAGGCAAAGTGGGGTTAAGTGTCTTGCTCAAGGACACAACGACAGCAGACATCAGAGGGAGTTGTGGAGTAGGTCTCGTGAAGGGCTCGATCCCACAGCCTTCAGGCCCAAAGGCCAATGCTCTACCAACTCAGCCAATGTCACCCCACTCGCTGATCAAAAGCCATATTTATATTATTAGTAAATATTAGAACATCATTATTGTAATAAAACCCCCCTTGGACACATTCTTCTCTCAGAGAGACAGTTCAGAACAGTCAAGGCCAATGGCTTTTTGCTGTTTGTGCTTGTGTTCTGTCAGTGTGTCCTGTGGCCCTGTCCCCTTCAGCCCTCTGTCTGAGGGGGACATCTGCTGGGGTCACCCACAGGCCTAACTTTGGCCAGTCTTTAATGAGGCAGCTGGACACAGAGCCAAACATGTGGCTTCAAAACCAAACAAAAAGAAAGGGGAGAATGGACAGCCTCCAAATGGGCAATCTCCAAATTAGCCAAAAAAACTGACTCCAACAACTCCTTTTATCACACGCTTGAAGAACTCCCTTACAGGATGTGTCAAAACAAGTCAGGATATGCCGTCTAAATCCAAATTAGCAATAAAATACAGAGCCAGAACACTAGTGCCAAAGAGTTCACATGTATATCCTGAGATGCCTTCTGTCTGTGTCCTTGCAGAGTTCAGACTGAAGCAATGAGAGAAACAGGACGATGCAAAGCAGCTGTTAAACACTAACAACTAAAAGCACCCACTATGTTTCAGTGTAATTTTAGCCTTGGGAGGATCTGTACTTACAGTTATACACAAGACAAATGCCTTGGCTGTGTAAAAGTGCATTTCTAAAAGGCAGTTTTACACATGAAAATAGAAGTCATGGCTCTTCTTATTTTGTTTTAAACTGGTGGGGTGAAGCTGACCACGCCTGGACTGGTTCCAGTGGCTGTGTTTACCTAACAACCTTCACCCCAGACAAAAGACTTGATTAACAGAGCCTGACTGTGCTGTTGGAGATAAGGAGCTTAGCAGACTGAGCTACAGTATGTCTTAACTGATGGAGGAAGGTGCCGCACAGAAACAAAAGGGCCAGAGTCAGCCTCAGGCCCCTACTGGACTGAAGAGGCTACGGGGACCTGACCCCTGCTCCATTCACAGTTTTATCATTAACCTCGCTCATGCCGGATGAGGACACACTCTGACCTCACATCACCTGCACGAGACAAAACCCTAAAACAAACCACTGGAGCGACTGGGCACCTGACGGAACTGACTCAGGTAGAGCCGGCCAGCTGGAGCGAGTGTGCTTCATGGCTGGACGAACTCAAAGAATAGATGACCAGGAAGAAGAGTTTAAGCTGAGTGTGAAAGAGGTCATTCTGCTCCTCTGTGTCGCCACTGTTAGTGAGCAGTTGGCCCACTCTGTTTGTGGGTGGCATCAGCAGATTGCATGAATGTGACCTCAGGTCAAAATATGGCCTTCTTCACCAGAGAATTCGAAGAAAATCATGTAACAGCTGAAGCGTTTCTATTAAAGACATAGATCTTTTATAGAAAATGTAATTTGAAAAGTCCTTACGTTGTTGTTCACAGGTGTGAAGGGACTCGTTCACCTCTGCTACATGCTGGGTCACCTCAGCTCAGAAACCCTCAGAGAGGGCACAGGGCGCTGAGACCTGAGGACACAAATACAGACCTGATTAGCTCTGTCACACACTGAATTTTACTCACAAAAGATTTCGTTTTTTACCGACTACATGCATTAGATGAAGTGGAAAAGGAATCCGAATGACTCTATGAAGTCAAGTGATGTTACATAATCAGAGTAGCAAACAGGATAATGTTTCCAGAGGGCAAAGGATTTGGTCACTTCCAGCATGAATGAGCACACTTATGACCACTCCAACATTAAGAGGCTTAGATCATGACATATGTGGCCACTATTATTAGACCACAAAGCGTTATTCGAAACCAGCAGCCCAGGGGCTATTTTCATAAAACACAATTGAGTGTTTTAGTTTGCTGCGTCTCTCCTTCCATACGGGCCGTGGTCTTGTGAATGGATCTGCTCCCTACTTTGACCTTTTGACTAAGTATTGTTTAGACTCTGAGGCGCTGATACAACAGAAGCAAAGTTCCCCTCAAAACATTGACAGTCCAATCTCCTCGTCATCACTTGTGACTGTGAGCTGTAACCGGAGAGCAGAGCTGGGGTCCAAGTCCTCCACTGACCAAGTGTACACAAGCAGCTGGTTCAAATGCATTAGGGATCACACTGAACCTTATTTTGTGAATGATTAGCCAATTAGATACAGCTTATCAAACTTTACAATGTCACGAATGTCATCGAACAGAAGTGACTTTAAAAAGTAAATTATTTGTGTCAAGAGGAAATACACAACAAAAATAAATCATATTGGAAATGGTTTATGAAGCAAATATAAGTGGTTCAGTTGTTTGTTACAAGATTATAAATATCAAATTGGTGATGTTTGTTTAATTCTATAGATTGAAATTGTATGTTTGGAGAAATGACGTATAGTGAGGCAGTTTAAGGCACATTGTACACATTGTTTGATGGTTATCTTCGGTAAATGTAGTGAGAACCAGATAGAGAGATACAGTGGTGGGACCAGCCCGAGGCTTTTGTAAAAATGTGCCGTTTTCCCTAATGACTTCAGAAGACATGTTAAGGCTGACAGGCCAGTTTGGTATCTCCCCTTGAGCCAAATTCAAGGCTTAAGGAAACACCTTTGTCACATGAATACTCGATTACATACTCAAACTAAATGGAACTATCCATTTATTGACATATGTGGAAAAGGGAGATATACCAGTGATCTGTTTGATTTAAAACTCCAATAATTTTAAAGTAGAGAAAAAAAAGTTGATTTAAGATATTTGGCCCGAGAATCTCATTGGCTAGTTACTTATCTCCTCCTTTGTTACTCAACTGTGAAATTCAATAGCAGAATTTACAACACACAGTGGTAAAATGCAACAATGTGTCATTCAACTTAAGTCACATAGGTTTATGAAACATTTAGTTAAATCCATATTTTAAGCTTACAGTATATATGCAAATGAGAGTAAATAGGATTTTAAAGTGCTCCAACTGGATATTCCAGGTATAGCTCCCATGAAACCACAATATGTTAGTGAAATAAACATCTTATTCGTTTTACCCTCATTGTTATGCTGTATCATTTAAAAGTGCTTTAGCAATGGGCCAAGACGTTTAACATTAGAAAAGCTAATTGTCACTCAAAGTCAATGCCCAGCTGATATGAGAAACAGGGGGGAAGGGAGATGAAGGCTAAAGGTTGGGGAAAAAAGGCTAACATTTCTCTATAGGCTCTAAATTAGGTGCCAAAAGCCTGTTGCATGAATGTATGGGAGCGCCAACAGAAATACAGTACAAGTACCTTCCATGACTCCAAGACCAGGGATGAGCACTTAAGAAAAATCCAAAACTGAAAATGATTTTAATCCAACTCCTACAGGATCTCCAGGGTAGTCCTTGTTAGAAAATAAATCCCATCGGCAGAACTTAAATGATTAATATCCATGCAGGAAACATGCACATAGTTCCCTTGTTGAAGATATTGGGGTGCTCTTTGTCATGATAGTCTTCTGAGCAAACTGGGATTCCCACTTGGAGAGCACCAAAAGCCCTGCCTCCCTCTGCTATCTCTCCCCTCACACAAACAAGCACCGCCCCTGGTCACTCTGCTCTCCGCTGCTGCTGGACCATTTGCTAAGGGAAAAAAGGGGGGCTGCCAAAAGATCAAGTATTATAGAATCAATGAACAGGTTCGTAAAATTTATCTTGCCTTGTAAAAAAAAAAAAAAAAAAATAAGAAACAAAAAAGTTTTTCAGGTGAAACTTGGAAAACTAGAGTATTGTCCAAAATAATGAATCATTACACAGTCATATAGTGTTGATAATTGGCTCACCGCTTGCAAAAACCCTGGTAAAAAAACAAACAAAAAACAAATATATATATATATATATATATATAATTTAAAAAAAGTATATCTTAAATATATATATACATTTAATAATAATAATAATATACATTTCCGAGTTTCACCTAAATGCCTGGTTACAATATTCAATACATTGTCCTATTTACAGTCCATTTGAAAGCTCGAGAAGGTGTAAAATTGTAATAGCATTAAAATAAAATCTGGCTTTACTGCTTGGTTAAGAAACAATTGTAAACTTTAAAACTCGTACTCTAAAAATGAGCAATTTCAAGTTTTGTACAGTTTTTTTTTTGGTGGTGTAATTAACTAACATTTAGCTTTAGAAATAATTGGTTTTCATTTAATTTCATTATACATTTTTATGATTGATTTTTTCTTAAAGCAAATTACATTTATTGTAGGTGAAAGCTACTGTAAGTGATTTCCAAAACGATTACAATGACCCATGAGAAAAAGTTTGTCAAATAAAAAACAAAACATATTTGGCAATTAAAGTCTATACTCACAAGCGACGTAGACTAAAATTGCTCGGTTTTTCACATCAACCAAAGAATCATCTCAGATCGTTTTCTATTTTTATCTAAATTAACTGCTCTAATATTTAATTCCTATGAATGCAGAAAAGTGCATTTGAACCTATTTGAAAAATCCAGTAATCACAAATAAATGTGACGATGTGAATTTGGGATTGTGAATAATTGAATGAAGCCATTTCTCCTTCTCTGCAGTGACGTCGGGGATAGTGGGAGTGAATGCTTCTTCGCGGCTCCTGTGGTGACAGATGCTTTGGGATCTGCAGTTGAGGGGGTTCAAAACAAAGGGATTGCCCACAGCTCCACACTGCCCTGCTAAGCGTCACCCACATACCCATTTACAAATACAGAAATATGGTGCAGCTTTAATTTAAGTTAAAACTGGAGTACCTAACTTTGAAACCACAAAAGTGTACGATGTAATAAAAGTCATCTAGCTCCTCGCCCTAAAAGATGTTTGGTTCTATCACTTGTTGTTGCATGAGTGTATTTTTGGCCTCCATCATATCTTTAGATCAGCTTTGTCAGTGAAAAAAATAAGATCCCTCTAACTTCTCCTATATCTTAGTAAAAAAATCAAGGCAGAATGTGGTAGTATGATTTGTTCAACTCATCTAAACTCAAAATCGTTATTGTCCAAAGAGGGAAAATTGTTTGCATGTGGTGGAGCAGAAAAATAAATACTATGACAATACAATGTTACTTTTTTTTCTTTTTTTACTCCAGCTTTAACGTGCCCAATTCAACTTCTTGTTAGACCAGAGTTGACTGGGGATAGGCCTTGCTGTTTGATAGTACAATGATCTATATTAGGCTTGTCCCAAAGTACACCCATGAAATAAGTTGCACAAAAAACAATTTGAGGAGAAAAATACAAATTGTGTTTATTCATGTATAATTCTGAAAGTATTTTTTCTCGATAATAAATGTAGTCCAAGTCTAAGAACTTGACCTAAAAATGTGCTCATCTACCAAAAAACAGCACATGCCGATATAAGACCTACCCTTCTTTATAATCTCTGCTGTTGTCTCATAATCCTTGAATTTAAACTAAAATAAAACTAAATAAAATGTTGAAATTATCATAGTTCCACAATCAAATATATTTGGAGGTGAGATACTGGATGTAGAATGTGAAACACTGATATAACTTACAAATGTTGATACTTTTGGCAATTCCAAGAAATACAATGTTTTGTTTTAGGATTGACCCCTCGCTGTGTCGTTACTACTGCTATAAATACCAGCAGCTCATCTGGTCAAAATAAATAAACAAAAACTGGCCGCAAATCAGGCCTCTCTCTCTCTCTCTCTCCTATCACACGTGGGTGACTCAAGTCGAGACCATTCTGGACCTGAAAAATATAAATTGTTGTACTGCAAGGCGAAATATGCTCACTCCCATTTTTTTGAGAAATACAGGCGTGAAACTTACAGCTGGAGTCTTTTTGTAACATCTGCTGCTTAACTGGATCATCAATCATAGATCATTGAGAGGTCTTACAATGGAAAACTGCTGTGATGAAAACCAACCTAATAAAATCACTATTGTTGAACACCAAAAGAAAAAAAATGGGACACATATCTTTAATATTACATATTGAAACAAAGCATCCATTGTCAGCCTAAATAAACTTTCACAATAGCTTCAGGACGTGGCGCCATTATATTATGTTGTCGGCTGAGAGGGTTTCAAGCCATAATAATACTATAATTCAACTTTGCAAAGTAAAAGTCTATATCCAAACAATGATAAGGAGCCCTTGTGTGAGGATGTAGGAAAGTCATACTGTATGTATAATACTGGTGGATCATGAGTTTTTCACTGACTCAATGTTAAATTCAAAATCACATCACATCAAGGGTCCTCCACTGTAGTCACATCACATCATACAATTGTACATTACCGTTGAAGAAACTTGAAATTTGCCAAGAAAACATAAGGCTAAAGTGTGTAGATACTGTAGCGTTACAAGCCATAATGGTTTTTATTCATTTTACAGGAGGGGAGAGCGTCTATTTAGAGATAGAATGATTTTCAATGGTTGTTATGAGTTAAAACTGAATCTATCTTAATGATTATGTACTGTACACTTCGCTAATATAGGACTGGCCTCCTGCTGGTGCCCAGAGTCAAGACTAAATATAGGGAGGTAGCGTTTCAGATTTATGCAGCTAAAATATGGAACAGTCTTCCTGAAAATGAGAGACAGCTATACCATAAACCTGCCTTGCCTTGTCTTGTATATACCAGATAGCAAAGATACTTAACTAAATAAATACTACAAAAACAATGGAACTGCGAAATGTCCACCCACTTCCTGATTCAACAAAAAAATAACATACATGTATTTTTCCTTATATGAAATTTCCGGATTTATCTAAAATAAAAATTATAAAAACATTGAACACTTGAATGAATGATCTTGAGTATAATGACCACAAGAAATAAATGTTTCGCATTTATTTTCCTTTTCCATGTTTTTTGGCCGAAAGCACTGCACTGCGGATGCCAGGTATAAATAAAACCTCGACCATGTATTCAAACTTTTAATATTTGGATTTATTTCTAGTGTATAAAGTTACCGCACTGTAGCTCTATAAAGGTATCATTCACTCATTCATTAAAAGTTGAGAGGGGATTTTGTGGGGGAATTTCCCTTCCTTTGCAGTCAGATGATGACTTCATTTGTAAATCAAGATTGGCTGACTCAATAAAGTACATTACTGACAAAAATCCATTTATTTTGATATATGGATACGCTCTTGTCTGTTAAACAAGTTTTGCAGTAAGTACGTTCAATCTCCATGTCCGCTTGATAAAACTGTATTGAGAACAGTTCCGGTTCATTACCAGAAGCAGTCAGCAGTTGTTTTAGTCAGTTTGTGTTCAGTTTTTAGCGCCTCCTCTCCAATGGGTATATTAGTATATTAGGGCCCGCAGCGTGTGAGAGACAGGGCTGTAAAGCTACTTTTCGCCCAATCACAGGCTCCATTAGTGCGCTGGGCTCCTAATGTCCCCCCATCACTGACATTTGTCTAAACATTGGGCTTGAGTTTGACTGTGAAATTTGTCTGGCTGTTGCTTTTTTAGACCACACATGGGAAAAGCTCATTGACCTTTACAGTAGACACAAATTATGCACCGCGGTTGCAGTAGTAGTGTGGTAATAGTGAGATAAGGGCTGAACAACATGTTTGTTTCATTAGACTAGGGTGTTGTCCCAGTGCAACCTCTCTTCCATCATCGTGTGGAGTGAGAGGGAGAATGTCCACAACTATTGTAAAGCGTTTAGTAACTGTGAAAGACACTATATTTATAAAAAAGATAAATAACTTGCAATGCTTTTTACAAGGAAAGACTTGAATCTGAATCTAAAACCAGAAGAACTTCCTGAAAGCACAAAAGTTGGACTGAGAATCAATTGGGATGACAAATAATTCTCATCATAATACCTTACACTTCCTTATCTTATAATTTTTTCAATCACATTGTATGTTCTAAATCAGGGGTCAACCTGAAGCTGGAGCTCGCCACCTCCTTCCAGGCAGCTCCCCGAAGGATTGTTCACATTACACATGTGCTGAATATTTCAAATTCATTTTTTGATTCACAATTATATTTATTTAATTTTTCACTTATACAAATGCATTTGGGCTTAAAAAATAATATAATGGATTGTTTTATGGGCATCTAACTGAACCCAAATTAAGTCTACGATGCAAACAAAACGCCAAGTCAACAATGGCTTGAATGGATTTTTTTGTACTATATAGTGGGACCTGCAGATTTAGAATTATTTCAAGCAACTGTGTCAATTTTTTTGTCAAATTGGAACAAAAACAAGATATTCTAACGTGTTCAATGGGTAAATTATGTTGATACGTTTTTTGTTTGTTTTTTTCCAG